ACGCCTCTATCTACAGATTGGGCTTGGGATTTTTTAATTTAACACAAGTTGCCCCTCTCCTCCCTTTTTTCAATATACTGCCTACGATTTGTTAAGGACGATCTGAACCAGTTCAGAGCTATTCCACGAATTCCGTATTGTTCCATCCTATTCAAAAGAATTTCGTGGTTCATACAGTCAAACGCCCTGCTAAGATCACAAAATATCCCAGCAGGGTGCTCTCCAGACTCAATATAGTTGATAGTATGCTCCAAAAATGAATGGATCGCTGTTTGGGTTAATCTACCTGTTCTGAAACCGTGCTGACTTTCAGAAAAAAATTGTTTTTACTTAAATAATAGGTCAAGTAGTCAAGCATGGCGTATTCAAATATTTTAACAAAGCATGATGTGATGTGATAATTTTCTGCGGAATCCCTGTCGCCCTTTTTAAAGGTGGGGGCCCGTGAAACTGTAAGGGCTGTAGGAAAAACTCCCTCTGTTAATGATGTTATTAGGGAAGTTAATGGACTCAGGATATAGCCGGCACACTTTTACAAAAGGCATACTATCAGGGCCATAAGAATTTTATTTTATTTTATTTTTTATTAAGTTCGATATTTCCTCGTGAGAGAAAGGTCTAATGTACATACTTTCAGGGAAGCTTCCAATTACATCTAGAAATGAATTTTTGTGCATGTTAGATGGCTTCTTAATTTTGTCAACTATTTTTTAGGAGCTTCTATAAAAAAGGTGTTCATAAAATATTAACGTTATTCTCAATCTCAAAATTCTTTGGCCGTTTATTCCTTCCACTTATCTCAGACACAATTGACCAAGCAGTTTTATTTTGATTATCTGACTCTAAAATTTTTCGCTGATAGTAGTTTCTTTTTGATAAATTTATTATTTTTTTATATTTACTTTTCTCATATTTATATTTTTCGACGGAAATGCAGCCTTTTTTGCGCAAACTATTTAACTATTATAACTATACTATTTATATATATATATATATATATATATATATATATATATATATATATATATATATATATATATATATATATATATATATATATATATATATATATATATATATATATATATATATATATATATATATATATATATATATATATATATATATATATATATATATATATATATATATATATATATATATATATATATATATATATATATATATATATATATATATATATATATATATATATATATATATATATATATATATATATATATATATTTAAGACAATTTATTAACTTCCCACAACTGACAGAGGCTTTTGAAAATGTAGAAATTAAATATAGCGCTCATAAGAAAAACACGCGTTTACTTGGGCCGTGCGCAACATAGTAGGTCATTTACTCATGAAAATTTGAACATTGCAACTCCTATAAGGAAAATATTCTTTCATATACATTATTTTTAATGAAAGACTTACAAAAACCTACAGCCATTAATGTCACGTTCCATTTTTTAAAACTTTGCTATTTATTTTAACTTATACAATATTTATTTTCTTTCTTAAAACTGAATTAATTTATTAATTTATATCGTTTATATACTGAGTGAGGCGGAAAAGAATACTTTGTGGGCAGTAGATCTTTACAAGGTCAAGTACAACTGTAGTTGTATACTAACTAGGCAATCTATTCAATATTTAATGGAATTATTTGAGTATGGTGGTAGTATTGAGTATAAAAAAGTGATAAACGGAAATGAACTAATAGAATTGGAAATTTTACGTCGAGTTCAAGATTATCGCCAGATGTTTATATATCTCAATCTACCCTTAATTGCGCCACTAGAAAACACAAATATCATCCCTTCACCAAGAACCAAGAACTTCTAGACCGTGATTTTGAATAATGGGTACACTTCTACACCGTTATAAAGAAAGCAATAGAGTTCAATCTAATTTTTTTGTCTAAAAGAATATCCTGCGGTAAAGCTACCTTTCAAAATAATGGTGCAGTTAATTGTCATAACAAGCATTAATATTCGACAGTTGGTCCATTCTAGGTACTGGAATTGCAAAACCAAAACCACTTAATATGTGTCTGAGCGTGAGATGAAAACTGATCCAAATAAATTTTGGCGTTTTATTAATAATTAAAAAGGCTCAACTAACATTTCAGACGGGATGTTCTACAATGACAAATTATTAGAAAGTCCTACTGACATTTTAAATGCTTTTGCAGTAAATCTTAATCTGCCAACTCTTCTTCAAATTTTGCATTTGGTAATAGCGATGATATGCAAGTTCTTCATTTTACATCTTTTCAAGAATGTGAAGTGCTAGCGGCTCTTGAGGAAACAAAAAACTAAGATGGCATCGGGACCTGATTGCATTGCGGCTTTTCTTTTAAAGAACTGTGCGAGTGTCTTTGCTCTATCACATACAGTTCTACTGAATACGTGCCTCAAATCTTGCACTGTGCCTGATATCTGGAAGTTATGCAGAGTTAGACCCATTGACAATATAGATATTAGTAATTTTGGTCCCATTTTATTACTTCGTAATGTTTCTAAGGTTTTTGAAACACTCCTGAACAATAGATTATACAATCATTTATAAAACAGTATAACATCAAAGCAATATAGTTTTATAAAAGGGTGGTCTACCATCACTAATCTGGAAATAATTACCCAAGTTATAGCTGAAAATCTAAACTTGCGACTTCAAATTGATGTTGTCTATACAGATTTTGACAGACTTGTTCATGGGATACTTATTTCTTCGTAAAATGATTACGGATTATCATTATCTCTAGTCAGTTTTTATCTTATCTAAATGATCGGCTCCAGTTAATTATATCTGGAGAACTCAAGTCTGTAGAATATGTCGCAGCATCCGGTGTTCCTCAAGGCAGCAATTTAGGCCCCCTTCTATTTAATATTTGTATTAATGACATTGTCAAAAGTGTTGATGTCAATTGCTTATTATATGCTGAGTTGTTCTGCAAAATTGATAGTATTTAGGACTGCCAAAACCAGTCATTGAATGTAAAGCGTATTCAAAAACTGGTGTGTCTATAATAACTTGTTAAATCCCATCAAATAAAATGTCATGATGTATTCACTTAAAAGTAAAATTATCAGATATGATTACCAAATCAATGACATCGTACTTCAGCGTCTAGCTGCTTTTGTTGATCTAGGTGTCACTTTCGATTCTAAACTTTCTTTGATTCCACATATTGACTCCGCTATGTCTGCTCCGAAAAAAATATCGAGCTCTCGAGACTTAAGAGATTTAGAAACTTTAAAGACTCTGTACTACGCATTTGTTAGTTTGTTGAATTAGAATACGGTGATATTATTTGGAGTCCGTTATATCAAGTCCATTTAAGGAGGCTAGAATCTGTACAACGAAATTTCTTGAAACTCATAATCAGGTTTTTTGAGCCGGGCCTCTTATCAAAATTGAACTTTGCTGTTTCCGGGGTCACCTCAGGAGTACGTCAAACCTATTGCCGATCTACGCCGTGTATGAATATTTTAAAATTTTCTCCTTTCATCAGAATGTGCGATCTGTGCAAGTCGGCAAGTTTCCAGCTTAATATATTTTCTTCTTCTGTACATGACGTTAAATATTTTTTTAAGGAATGCCATATTATTATTTTTGTTTTATTTTACGTTGTATTAGCATTTTCTTGTTCTTTTGCATTTTTTTATATAATTTTTAAATTTCTCACTTAGGTCCCTGTTCTGTAGTTGAGTGTATTCCGTTGAACAGTGTATCTAAATAAATAAATAAACCAATTAAATTATTGAGCCATATTTTTTTCGCGAACTACTTAACTGGCCTAGATTTTAAATTTTATAGAAGAATGAATTACCTCCACTTCTTCAGGAAGTGTATAACATTGAGATCCACCAAATGTGGCTTCGGCAAGATGGAGCTCCGCCGCATTACAATCGAAAAATTCGAGAATTTTTAAATAATCAACACCCACCGTAATGAGTCGGTACAGGTGGATCCATTTTTTTTGTGGGGTGATGTTAAAGATTGGGTTTATGTGAATTACCATATTTAATAAAAGTTGTTGGTGTTTGTAAGATCTTCTAGAAAACAATAACAAATATGGTTTGCCATTTAGGAATATCGAAATTTGTATTCAATTTCAAATATATTTTGAACACTCTGTGGTATTTAAATAAAATTTTGTTGTACATACCTTATACATGATTTTTGAACACCGCTAATATCAAAACAAAATTGGAAAACCGAGTGTGCTATTTAAGAAAATATATGATTTATTCGTCACACCTGTTTGAGCCATATTTTAAAATAATTTTAAATTTGGCATTCTAGCAAAATTTTGTATTTACCATTTTCTCATAACTTTTGAATCCAATGGGATAACGAACTTTATTTAATAACGTTAATTTAAATTTAATGAATAAACGAATAACAAGTTTTTTAAAAATATTTGCTTTTTACGCTTTCACGAAACACCTCATATAATATATATATATATATATATATATATATATATATATATATATATATATATATATATATATATATATATATATATATATATATATATATATATATATATATATATATTTAATATCAGGTATCCTATTTCAAGAAAAATGGTCGCAGACATCCATCATCATCGTAAGAAAAGAGTTTTTTGCTGTAAATAGAAAATATACACGGTGGATCAAAATGTAGATGTCAATATCGTCGATACTGTTTCTATAAATTTTCTCTCAATTTTACTTACGGTTTACAATGTTCTTTGATTTCGTGCAGCATTTCAGCATTTATTGACATAATTTTTCGAAATTGTGATGAATTTAAGAATAAACAAATTAGTTACACGTTTGCGTTAATACATTTGTCCATTTTAAAAAAGAAAAGTCTCTGCGACGAGAAAAGATTCGCAATACATTAGCATTATCCTACTGTTCATGGTTAAAGTTTTCTATTGTTTTCAGTTAATATTTCAAAAAAACTACCAAATTCAGGATATCCCCTTTTAAATATTTATTAATATATTCCTTACAAAACGTATAAATTATAATCCTATATCACTTGGAAATCACAAACAGCTGAATACTAAAACACAGGCGCTACTTCTGGCGCGTTATCGTAGAAACACTTGAACGCCTCGAAGGCCGTATCAGACGGAGTGGCTCGTTCTTTGGCACATTTCTCCGCTATTTCGTCGGCATCTTTGGCACCGAGCACTGTGCCTAGTTTTTCTCTTATAGTGGCCACGTTAAGCTTGCCGTTTGCGTCTTGAGCTTGGTTTTTCTTCGCGATGCACAACAGGTATTCTTTTAACGACTGATTGTCCGCGAAGTTTCCTTGTCTCGCCTGTTGCACCACGTCCTTTATGGCGTTCGTTTCCTCCGAACACTCTCTTATGTTGGCCCGGATGGTCGCTTTTTGTTCGTCACTCAGCACGCCACTCTGAAACAATGTCGATAGTAAACCGTTTGAAAATAAATTTATAAAAAAAGACAAGCTTTTCGTATCGTGTAAATAAGTTTCCGCCTTTAACAAGCTGAATCGAAAACCGAGGTTTGCCTTATGGCTGCTTTCAAAGCTATTTGACTAATGGAGTTCCACAAGGATCCATTTTGGGACCCCTTCTATTTTTGAGTTATATTAATGATATATCTGGCAAAGACCGGTCATTGATCGGTCTACAAAGAAAATTACTCTTTGAAATAAAGGGAGTTATTTTTTATTTATTTAGTGGTTATAATATATTATAAGTTATATAAGAAATCAAATGCGTATCGCGAAGTTGAGAAATAATAGCAAGTTTTTTATTTTTAAATGGACCACGAAAAGATATTTTTCTCCCTATTGCAACAACATATAGATTGTTGATATTTGCATAACCTATTCTTGAATTATTTAACGTTAAATTTTTTACTAACTTAACAAATGTTAGTCAAGTTCTGTAATTCCAGTTAAATGCTTATTTGAAGGAAATAAAATTCACCGTTTAGGATATAGTCAAGTAATATCCAGGCATATCAAAGAGGATCCAGAGGATGAAGCAACCTTCATGACGTCACATACCTGCCAGATGAAAACCCACATAAAATTCAATTAGTGCTGGCCAATCAAGCCTATTTTTCGGGATAGATGTCTGATGTTCAATCGATATTTAGATTTAATTCAAAATGGAAGATATGATCTCTTGAAATTTTCCTACGGGGATTTTTAGAAAACCCAGTATAAAATGACAGACCACAAAATATACGAGCGTCGAGTCAAAGAATTGAACCAGAATTATTCATGCTTAATAGAGATGGTTTATTTTGAATTTGATTTATAAAATAATGATAGATAATATTAGAAAATATTTGGAAAATCATGTTGAATAGATAGAAAAGACATTTATTTCATATTTTCATTGCATTATCATACGTTAAATCATCGTTGCTACAGTTTTTATTATCGTTTGTTGTTGATATAATATTATTTAAAATTTTTAGTACTATTGATAAATTAATCCTTATTAATGCAAGGAAGACGAATCACTTGAAGCTTTGCTTACTCTGAGGAATCCATTTTCCTACCTGAGGCTTTCAATTTGCGGAACGCCTGGACAATTTGATTAACATCTGATAAGTTAATCAAAAATTTAAACTTAAGTAATTTAAGAACAGCTTATCCACATATCAGCAATCTATATATTTTTGAAATCAGAAGAAAAAAATCTTTCGTCGTAATAGAATAGAATAGGTGGTCCATTTAAAAATAAAAAATTTGCTACAGTTTCCCAAGAAGTGATTAAATTTAGGAGTTTGGAGTTGAATTTCTTACGTGTATTGTGACTATCGACTTCACAGTTTATTCTTATTTTCAATTGTAACTGCGGGTGCAGATAACGGAGTTCGTAAAGATATATCCCAACATCAACAATTTACAGATATTTGAAATCAGGAGAAAAAGGTCTCTCGTCAACATGCTACTGTTTGTCAATTTTGGGATGCTCATTTGTTTTCTTTTCTATACTACTAATACTACTAATACTACTACTAATACTACTAACACTGTTACTAATACTACTACTAATACTAATGCTATACCTATTACAATAGTAACTTTTGTATTAAAAGCTGTACATATTAAAAAATTTCATGAGAACATCAATTTTGTAGCACAAGTCTTCTATATTTTCTATATCAATTACAATAAGATAAATATTAGAAAATTGAATTAAGGTGGCTTTTACTTTATGAAAATCCATTTAACAAAATAAATAAGAACTAAAAGTTCAGATTTTCACGAAATTATATATTTTCACATGACAATGGTTTCGACAACACCGTGTCTTTATCAGATGTAATATTTACAAACTACCTGCTACTATATACATCGAAAAATGACATTAAAACAAATGATGTTGTGACAATTTAAGTTTAATAATGGAGAGGTGTTTAAATCTAATTGATCGTTAAGCAATACATTGGAATGTCTCATTTTGTTAATTTCCATGGCTTCCAACAAATTTATTTTTCTACTGTTTGTGTTTTTCTGTGTTGAAGTGTGTAGAATAATTAGAATCTAGTATGTTCGTTAGTGCGTTTCTTGAAGGATCTACCTGTTTGTCTAATGTAAGTTTTAAGACAAGATCTGCAACTCAACATGAAGACACCTGATTTTTGAGATTTTGGATATTTCGTTTTATTGTTTTTTAAAAATTTTTCGATTGTGCTGTTAGTTCTCAGAGCTATTTTTAAACCACATTTTGACAAATGTTTTGAAGCTTTTTCACTGGGTTCTCCTATGTATATAATTGTTTTAAATTGTTCGTGTTCTGTATTAGGTTTTAGATAAATAGAGTTTACTGTGGTCTGGATTTGTTTTTTATTGTTTTTATTTATTTATTGGAAGCCAATTGAGACATTCAAATATATTTCTTAACGATCAATTACAACATTAATTAAGGTTTTAATGTCATTTTTCGGTATATATAGTAGAAGGTAGTTTGTAAATATTACATTTGATAAAGACACGGTGTTGTCGAAACCATTGTCATGTGAAAATATATAATTTCGTGAAAATCTGAACTATTTATTTTGAAAAATATTAGAAATACAAACACAATTCTCTCTTCTCTTTCTCTGTCACTGATTTTACACAAACCCGTTCCACTGTGCATGGTAGTGGAAAAAGTAAATTACTAATTTTAAGTTACCTGTTCTATTTTTTCGTGTTCCTTCTTACGAATTTTGCCTAAAAGTGTACGCGCAATTCCGAACAGTTTTGCAAAGGTTTACAAAAGCACAGAATTTCGCTTCCGTTTCGAGATTTTATTCCGAGTCTGAACAAATGCGAACAAACTGCCCTATAATATTTTTCCCGGTCCGAACATACTCAACCTACGGGGGTTTTCACATCGAAACGATCCCGATTACTCACCATCCTCTATTTATTGATGTTGGCCATTTAAAAGACAAAACGCCGGGGATTAAACTGTCCCACTGGCGATTTATTCCGGATTAACCCTCAAAGATTAGAGGCGACAAATTTTTATTCTCCGCTGAACATAACAAAACGCGGTGCAACTGACAAGAGAAAAACGAACTGGCCGAATCCTTCTGACAAAAGTCCTCGAAAACGGCTTCGATACAATCCTTTATCATTCACAATGCCCAAAAGACCTACGATAAAGTCCTTTGGTTCTGAAGATCCCAGGATCAGTTTCTTCCGACGGAAAATTTACCTCCCTCTAGGGTTTCAGAATATTTGAAGAGTACAGGAGAAAATACATGAGGGTCCAAGAAATTTAATTGTGATCTAGACTACTCTAGAACGTGGTAAACAAAAATAGGGTTTTGGAATATAATTATTGCTAACTTGAACTAAAATACTTTCTGACAGAATATATAAAAAATATATAAATTTTATGAAAAACTATAAAAAAGAAACTTTGATATCAATACAAAATAAAATTGGCAATAAAGATGAAGGTCCATAATCAATTATTGTAATCTTATCAATGTGGTATTGTTGTAAAAAATGCAGCGCTTTTTGAGAACAGAATCTTTTTAGATGCTTTGGGTCTTGAAATTTAGCTTTAGGTACCATGGCCCATCATAAGCTAAAATTGGAAATAAAAAACACTGTTCAGGTAGCGAAAGTCTTTTTCTTTTTTGTTTTGTGACAGCATTTTCAAGTTCTCGACAATTATAACTTTCCCTATGTATCATCATTTTTGGTTATAGCTCATACTTTGACCGATCTTGAAGAAAAAGGACACTTGGGCATATAGATATCCGCTAGAAATTTGGTCCAATTATCAAAAATGGAATGATCTTCAGAAGAAATGACTTTAAAAGGGTTTTTTAAGGAATTTCCAAACTACATTCCATTCTTGAGGCAGTTCAACGCACTTCATCGGTTTCACTAAACCCATATTTCTATGGCATTCTAGATACCAATGTCCGCGAACAGGAAAAATCAGTTTGATTGTGTTAAGTCTTTTAACAAAATGAACAACATAATGTAACATTCTAAACACTCCCGAAATTTGTATTTTGTTCGCAGCATGAATCACAAAATATAAGTTTCTTGACATAAAAATTTAGATGGTTAAAAATATAATCCCATAGCATCCCATATACTTCAGTATGAGTCTAGAAAGGAGTTTCAGAGGTCATAGGTGCCATTAATTGTAATATTCGGCAGATGAAGATTTTTTTGAAAATCTATTACAATAGCTTCCTTGGTTTGGTCTTTTTGAGCCTCTTGCCTAGTAGCTTTTTACAATAATAAAAGCTGTCCGCCCTTTTTAAGTGTACTTCTTTTTCAACTTGCAAGCTTCGCAGTGCATTGTGATCGTCTGCACTTTGATTAATTTTTTTTTCAATGTCGTCAATTTTTACTTTCAACTCATCGCATGTACTACCGAAGCAACTTGGTGTTGAATATTTCTATATATTTTTCATAAGAAGTTTTCACAGGATATTTTGCTTTTTACATAGAGTACATTTTCTTAATATTGAGCTCAGCAGGTAAATAAAAATTTATTGTTTTAGACAGGCCATAGTACTCTTAAAACATCTAATTTGTCACCAATTTTATTACTTTTCTAGAAAGTTTGTTAGGTCTGGAAGAGTGCATTCCTCGCATATGCACTGAACCCTTTGATTTCAATCCGTTTGTAGCATTTTTGCAGTTATGCTATGTAAGGCTAAAAAAGTTTTATAGCACACTGGGTTTTCACAAAGTTCGTTGTTTTTTAACAATCGCACCTTATAAGTATACCAAAATGAATGAAAATCAGCGTCATATTCAGATTTCCCAGGACGATGGCGTGTTACAGGTTTGCACATTACTAAACCGCTCGGATAAAGGGATAGTTCATCATAACTCCGTAGTTGATTAAACTTAGACACGATCGTGATTAAATCGAGTGCATTGAGATTTTGGAAACATTTAAGTTTTGAACATTTGCAGTCTTGTCCAGCTTGATGACTCCTTAAGCGTTACTTTTTAGTTACATCCTGCATTCAAAAATAGGATTTTCTTTTTCATGTTTTTTGTTGTTCAGCCATTATTCAACAACAAGAAATACACCACAAAATTTTAAAAACAGAACAATCAATAATTACACCAATAAACTTCAAATAGCACGAAGTTGCCATTTCCTATGGACTGTCATCTTTCTTGCACCCAAACTCTGGTACCTTCATCTTTTTTGCCCACTACTATACCACTACTGTGTACTATCATCATTTCTTATAGGTGGATAGTATTCTATAGCCTATATATTATACGAAATAACTGTCTTATTTGGGCAAAAAATGGTACCCCCATATTTTTCCCCTATACTCAAGCCCAAGCAGGAAATCTCATATACGAGACTAATAATTACTGTCTGATGGCTCTCGCAGATGATCAGATCATATTGTCAAGCAACAAAGAAGATACTGAAAGAAGAATACGCAGAACGAAACATACCTACAAGTTAAGTTCTCAAAAGAAATTTGTTTCGTCCACATTGGCATCATTGAACATACAAAAGAGTCAACTTTTTGTCAACAGCACCAGAAAGAACAGCTATAGAACCTAAAATATTAACAAAAGTAGATAGTTTCCAAATCATCTGCCTACGAACCCTTGATGCAGGATATAAAGCACGAAGAAATAAAATTAAGGATGAACAGAATAACGGAGACCCGAACGAGTAAAAACCCGACAAATAATGTGGTATTAAAGTGAAGATTGAGAAAAATGTCTTGATTTTTAAAAATCCGTTTTTTGGAAAAAAATTCTCATGATAAAGCTGAGGTCAGTTTAAATATTCTATTATTAAATATAAAAATAAAATTTAAAAAAAATCCGATATGTAATTTTATTTTTTATTTACAGTATTATTATTAAATTATTTTTAAATTATTTACAATTCTTCTGGATTCCTCTTGTGTCGGTTGTTGATAAATCGAACTTGCTGACGTTTTGTCAATTATGCTGTCAGTTTCTTCAGAGCTTTACTCTTAACAGTTTCAGTTAAGCTCTGAAGAAGTCAATAGCAATTTTAATTTATACACAATCGACGCAACAGGAATTCAGAAGATTTATAAATAGTATTACAGTAGCAGGTAGAAGTTTCTTTGAAAAATTAAATATTTTTAAGTTGTTACATTTGCATGGATCTTAACCAATTCAACAAACCAATTCAACCTAATGAATTGAAATAATTTTCGGCTTTCATTGTAGCTTTCTCATCAATACATATTAATAATAATCAATTTCTATAAACAAAATTACACAGACAAGTAATTTAATATAGGAAACATTGCCCCATTTAAAGTGCTAAAAATATTATATAAATTTTGAAGTTTATGTTAGATATATTTACTATATTAGATCGATGTTCCCGTTGAGACAGCCTGTATGTGATGCGATCATTTTCATGTGATGCATATAACAACAACATATGCAATGTACTCATAAAAGTTCTTTTTTTATTTAAAGTCTAAAGTATTGAAATTTTATATTCATTTTAAAAATGTTTTCATCTATTTATTATTATTTTTTATCTATTTAAAAATTAACTTAATTAATTTTATTTTAATACTGAAATTGAGAAATTGTATGGCAATTGACTTTTCAATAATTTGTAATTTATTCAAAATAAGTAAAATTCGTAGAAAGTATTTGAAAATCTCTAAAATGTTTGTGAAATCCGTGAAATCTGTGAAATCATATGGTCGCGTGAAATATCCACCAATTTCAGATGGTGATTTGCCCCGTTTCAAATGTTTCGGGCTTATTTATTGCATTCGTTCTGAGAGTCCAGCCCTGAGCTTCTTGAAAACTCTAAAACTAAGCTTACCTGCATAATTTTCAAGTCACCAGGGGCGTTTTTGTAGTAACACTGCGCCATCTGGAAAGCTGTTTCCAACGGTTGGTCCTTTCGCACGCCACATAGCCCGGCCAGTTTTTTCGTCAACGCTTCATCTCGATAGATTTCCTGGGTCTTCTTCGTTAACACGTCAGGCAAGATATCGCCGGCCTCGTTCATCACGCCCCACAATTTGGCAACGCAGAAATAGTACTCCTTCAACCGTTTGTCATCGGCAAATTCACCCTTTTGCGACATGACCAACACGTCCCTATCCACGCCCGACTGTTTGATGCACTGCCTGAAGACTTTCGTCAATTCGGTCGACACATCTTCAGGCATTTCCACGTGTTCTGTATAAAGTGTCACGTGCACGGGGGAATTGTCGTAAGTGCACTTGAATGCGTGATAAGCGGTCTCTTCTGGTGTATCTCTTTTCTGCACGCACTTCTGCACGATTCTGTCCACCAACGCGGGATCGTTGATGATCTCGAGCAAGTCGTGCCTAAATAACTCTGCATTGATATCGCCCAATTCGTTTTGGAATCCGGTTTTCATTGCGAAACATAGCAGGTATTTTTTGAGGTTAGGGTCGCGAAGGAATTCGCCGTCTTTCCAAGCTTGGTTCACAGCAGCCTCGTTGGCCGACGTCTCTTCCACGCACGCCTTGTGGTAGTTGGTCAGTTTGTCGGATTTTTTGTTCCCTACGAATACGGCATCTGGCGATACCTGAAACAGAAAAAGCTAATAACATGTGTAATAATATTCTTAAAAAATATGTAATGTTTTAAATGAAAAAAAAAAGTTTAACTTATATATCAAAATTCGTCAATTTATTCAAAAAAAAAACTATCCACACCAGTTTTCACCTCTTCGATCAGTTCACGCATGACCGAGCTACAATCACCCATTGTAGTTCGTAAGTAAACTAAAAATGTAAAATTTTCAAATTCGCCCTATATCCAAAAAATAGCAATGATATTTTTACTCGTGCTACAGTTCTGTTAAGTTTTATTTAAAGTACCCGATGCATGAAGCGAGTAGTTTCTCAGATATTTCATATTTTGTGTAAAAAATTCCTAACCTAAAAGCAGAATTTATGCAGAAACAGCTTTGACCACGGAGCTGTGTATAGCCGTCCGTTAACGTTTCCTCAAGCTAACCTACGTAAGTTATCAATAAAAAAAGTTTTTGAGTGCACAGCAGTACAGTGTACATTCAAGAAAGATCCGTTAACAGTTTTCTCTAGTCCCATCTGTAGTATACGTAATTACACGTCACTTTACCACGTGATTTTCTTGTCCGACGGATCCGAAATGCCATTTACCGCACAATTGTAGATTTATAGAAGAAAGGAAGTATAGACAGACGTTTTCCACTATTGCTTAAAAAAGGTGCTCTTAGATATTTAAACATAAATTGCACTTAATCTCACTAACTTCTTCATTTATCCTTTCGTCTACGGTCTTTGAAAATACAAGGTTAACGTCACACACTGTAAACTGCATTCACAATGTCTTAGTGAATTGTGAATACAGGAACAGTCTAGTTTTTAACGCTTTGATTTCTGATCGTATTGCCCAAAAAACTACATTACTGTTAGAGAATTGTAATTTAGTAGATAGTAATTTATAAAGATAACGATGAGATTAAAGAATGTAAACGAAAACTTGACATTTTGTTAGTTTTGGCTGCTCATATAAACAAAAATACAGAGTTGTTAAGAGAAAATATGATAATCTTTTGAAAATAGAACCACCTGATGACCAACCAATGAGATTTTGGGTAGAAACAGTTTGGAATGAGGGGGGATCCAAATGAAATGTCAAATCTTTTTAATGAATATGTCTTGAACACTGTGCCTGAATTATTAGAAAACCTAGAAAAAGACTTTTTCCAATAAACCAACCAAAGGGAGAACCAGATAGACCGATTAGCATTTTGCCCGGATTTTCTAAAATATTTGAAATGGCTATTTGCGAAAAACTCGTAGAGAATTTTAATAAGTCTAAAACACTAAATGTTGAGTAGCTGACTTAGTTAACTAGACTTCTCCCTTTGAGAATTTAACATATACTGTGTATTATGTATGTCATGCAATATATGCATGTCTGTAATATATAGAGCTTCTTATTTATTTATTTATTTATATAAGTTTTTCTAAATTTTTATATACTATAGGTACACTTCTTGGTCTAAGTTAAGTTTATAAATTAATTAATTTCCTACTACATATATTTATGAACCATTGATATGTTTTTTTGAAAATAGAAATGACTTTAAACTGCAGATATTTTCCAGATGAAACACCGAAACCTTAAAGTTTTACCGTATAACCTTAACATAATGGAACCCTTGTTACATGTGCCTGAAATTGTATAATAAATTATCAAATTATGCAAAAAGCAATTGGAAATCTAAAAATCTTTAAGTGTACTATAAAAAAGACACAAACAAATGTAGGACCTTACTCTTTAGAAGACTTTTTTCTATAGTCTCTATTTACTATTTAATAGGTAATAGGATCTAGTATCTTTTCGTTTTTTATCGCCGAATCCCTTTGTGTTTTTACGTTAATGTTAATTCATGCAATTATGTAATAAAATATTAAATAAAAATGATTATAAAGAGTGTACCAAAAAAATGATTAATTTTTGACAAAACCGAATGATGACATACTTTTTTAAATGGAACACCCTGTAATTTTCCATTTTTATAAGTTGTAAATTCAATTCTTCAATTCTTCAATTTTTTTAGATATAATCGTTTCCACTGTCATTCGAATAAAAAACACGAATTACTTTTCTTATTGCAAATAACCCATTTTGCTTACTGAAGATTTCAATGCGGAATGCAACTTGATTAACGTCTGTTTAGTTGATTAAAAATTTAAACTTAAATAATTCAAGAACGGCTTATTCAAATATCAACCATCTAAATATTTTTGAAATCTGGAGAAAAATGTCTTTCGTCATAACAGAAAAACTTGCCACTCTCAAAAAGATAATACTGGAGAAATTATACACCTTTTCTACTAAAAGTTTTTCTCAATGACTTCCGTTCCCTGTAGGTGGGTACGCAAATATAAAACATAACCCTGTACATATTAAAAATTTTCTAGAGAAAGTAAACTGATATTGTATATTTTCTACATCAAGTTGTTAAATAATCGAAATTCTTGCTCATGTTAAACTTTTCGCAAACATTTGATCAAATAAGAAATTTGTATGCCAAAATTGCAATAAGACAAATATTAGAAATACCAACGTAATTCTCTCTTCTCTCTCCCTTCTCTGTGTCCCTGATTTAACAATAATATGTAGAATTTTATTGCAAACATCTGCTATATTCTCTATATCAGGTTGTTAAATAATGGAAATTCTTTTTTCTAACTTAATCAAATAAGTAAGAAAGTGTCTGTGTCCTTGATTTTACACCAAGCGGTTCTACTGTGCATGGTAGTAGAAAATGAAAATTACGTGTTTTTTTTTCGTGTTTCATAAAAATTTGGTAAAATAAAAATATTGAGAGAGTCCGCACTGTATTCTCAATGTGACTTGTGCTATAGAATTTAGCAAAACTTGTCGGATTTTTACGCAAATCTACATAACACGATTATATGTGTTTTAAATGCATGACGCGACTCGCAAGGTATCACGCAGCTTAACACCCATTTCGGAGATCGTTTTAGTTGAAAACCTGTCGGCAATAAAATTTAATAGCGAAATTTTCGACAAAACCATGTCGGCGCATTTCCGGCGAAATATAACCGAAAAAAAAAATGGACACAACTGCAGCGAATAGCTCCGGACGGGTAAAAGCGCTTAACCAGTTTAATTCGCGTGTCAAATACATGAAGCTCGGGGGTGGAATTCGGACCAGGCGGACTACGAAAATTGCCTGATTGGATGATACAAAAACAAATCAAAATTTGCTATTTATATATAGCCATTGTCATAGAAATACCGCCAGTTTAAACTTTCAGCAAAAGTTTGCTTTATATTTTTGGTTAATTAGAGTTTCTGGGTTTATTGTACCAATTTTTGGTGAAAATAAGTTAAGATTAACACGAAAGCACCAATTTTCAATAAACAGATAAAAAGAATCATTCGTTTAGCGGAAATAAAATGATTCCAGCAGCATTTTGGCTCAGTAAACCTAGAAAAATATTATTTTGGAAATAAGTTATCAAGTTTTTAAAAAGACTGCTGTCCTCGTATAAAGACAAAAAATTGTGTAAATTTGTGCAATATAATATAATATCATTTAACATCATTTGGAATCTACTTTGTTTTTCCTTATAGAGTTGTTTGCTACAAACTTTAGGTCATCTGGCACAATTATATACCTGGAAGACTGAAGGGATAGACAATATCCAGATGAAATTCCTTGATAGGAAGTACCTATTGTATAATATTGTAAAGTATAGAATCATTCGCAATAGTAAAAAGGCACCAATATCATATTTTGCCTCTTATGGAAACGGGATGTTTCTCGAATAGCCAATCATGATCGTCAGCACCTCCCACTGTTTTTTCCATTTTTGTATTTCCGTTACAGGAGTGACTCTGTCATAATTGGAAGCAAGTGAGGCACATTTGCCATTCCATTTACAAACAAGAATTCGCCAATTACATGATCCTTGATGCTCGTTTACCAAATTTTTTGGTGATATTTTAGGGGATTTTACTGTTTTTTTGATTTTGGTTTTCCCGGATAGTACCAGTCGCACGGAAGTCTTTTTGTTTCCGAATTATCGAATTACACTTTATGTCTCTTAGGGTTTTCAAGTACTTCTAACATATTGGTGTTTTGGGTTCGTCAGATCCCCCTTTAGGCTCGTTGCCACAATCAAGTAAAAATTTATAGCAGCAACCATTATCGCCATATAGAACCCACAGTTGGAAACCGAATCTTGTCTTCATTGTCTGAAACGTTCATTTAGGATTGTTAGCAAATGTCCAATTTTGAAGAATGTGAGTCATAGTTTTCAGTTCTGTGTGCTCGTTACGGCTAAATACATTTTTTGATAACAAAACTCCCAGGTCTTGTAGTTTGGATCAATAATCCCTTTCACTGGGTAAAGAGTGATATCCAGTATAAATCAAAAACCCCCTAAAAAATTTGATCAGGCAATAAATGAAATGAAATTAACTTTTTTTTTTTTCTTAGAAAATGTTAAAAGTATGCTTAATACATATTTCAGTATCCCCTGGAATATCTAGCACGGTAGCTATACCAATATCTTCATCGTTGATATGATCTTCATCTTCATCTTCACGTCACTTCTGTTCGGAATATAACGATTCAACAGCTTGTCCTGATGTCTTGAAGGCTTTTCTGGACATAATTTCGAACAATATCGAAGAATCTCTAAATAAAATAATTATTTCCTAAATCAACCTTATCTAAATTCTAGTTAGAACAAAGATAGGAAATATCATATTTATAAAACCTAACTATATAACTACCAGAATAAATAAATTGCTAAACATACCTTTGATTTATAAAAAACTGAGAGAAAACATTTAGAAATGAATGAAGAATTTTAGAGATATTATCTTTGCTTATTCGTGAAGTTGACTTGGGAAATAACAAATCATCATAATCATTTGTCCATCTAATTTCTTCATTTCCGAAATAATTCTCTCCATGTACGCCATATATTTGATGAAACGTCACGGCCTTGGATTAGATTAAACATAAGCTTAAAGGTTTCTATACTCCCTTAGCTAGTTCAAATGACCTTAACCGAAAAGACATACCTTAAAAATTTGTACGTGAGACGGTGAATTGTTGTACAAACACTGAGCAATGTTAATGGCATTTTGTTGAGGGCTGTCGTATTCTTTGACACATTGTTCAACCAGCTGCGAGACCATATCGGGATCGTCCATGACCTTGTTCAGTTTCTGCGAGATGACGTCGCGGTTCACGCTACCGTCTTCGTTTTGAAAACCGACTTTCTGAGCGAAACAGAAGAAGAACTCTTTGAGCAGGGAATCGTCGGAAAAGAAGCCTTTCCTTGTCTTGTCGACAAGGTCATCGTTTACGCCTGTTTTTTCAATACATTCTTTGCAGTAGGATCTCAGCTTCTGACGCTGGTCATTGTTCAATGGAGCGCCCTATAAACGAACATAAAAAAAATAATTTAGATTATAGTGTGATATGTTGTATGTAATGTCATATGATATGTTTAATTTAAAATTTTACATAATATAAATTAAATGTCTTTTAATATGTCGAGTGACACAAAAAAGTGGGCGCATTCTATAACTTTTAAACTATTTGAAGTGTGCTTTGAGTGGAAACGATGCTAACTTTTGAATTTTAAACTGCACATTCTACATATTTGTTGAAATAACAAAATTTTCTTGCCTGGTTCATTGTAAAACACTATTTAAGTTGATGAACCAATGACTGTTAGGAAAACCATTTTTTTTAATTTGCACTTTTTTGCAACATTTCGAAACCATATTAAGAAAACCCGTTAAAAATTAAGTTCACAATAAGAAAAAAAATAGATCAGTAAATATTTCTTTTTAAATAAAATGTAACCGCCCTGATAGAGTTATCAATATTAACTAAAAACTATTAAGAACAAAATGCAAAAAAAAAAAATGGGTGAGCCACTTAAAGTTTAAAAGCTTTCGTCGATTTCGCTCACCACGGAAGTTCTTACAGTAAAGTAACACAATTGGCCTATATTAAGCTAGAAAATTTTAAATTAAATTTTAATTTTAATTTTTGTCATCGTCTGGGATATTACCGTTTCACACTTAATTCAAACACAATACTTACATTGATGGTTTGCTAGCGTTGTAGTTAAATTTAGTAAGAGTTTTCTTTTGTTATGTTCCAACTAAGGTTAGGACTAATCCAAATAAAATAAAAGACCAAAGACAGGGTTTTATAAGGGATCAATTTTCAAAAATGCAGTTATCAATATGTGTCTTTGGAGACATTTGGTTCACTTCCTTTCAGCATGAAAATTAAAGCAAAATTATTTAATTTATTATTTATTTATTTTGTTTATTGTTATTTCACTTTAAAAGTTAAGTATAGGAATTGTCATAATCTGATCTGGGATAGCGAAGTAATAAAATAATATATAAAGAAAAATAACACTGTCGACACTAGTCATCACAAACACAAATTTTAGGAACTCCTTTGAGTTACCTCTAAGCAATCCGAATAAGATTTTCAAACATTTGTTTCAATTTCTCTCAAAGTTGAAGCAGTTAACACCTATTAGAAATTATTGTGTTTATCGTGTAGTGAAAATCAGGTATTGGATTTCAACAAAAATGCTAGCAGACATCTGCCATATTTTTTTCTTGCTCATTTTTAGAATAATTTTGAAGGCTTTGAAATAATGTTATTACACTTAAAACGTAATTTGACAATTTCCGGAGAATTTCCGGAGAAACGTGGAGCTTAACCCATATTATCCCAAGCATAAAATTTTTTTAAAAAAATGCTTGTTTGGTCTGAATTTATTTATTTTGTTGCACTTGTGTACACGAACCACTGGGAAAAAATTTATACATAAATATACAAAGGAAAGTTCAAATTCGGCAGAAAACAACAAGTAGATTGTTTTGGAAATAGAACCTGAGTTTTTCCAGAAAGCCTTTTTTTTAGTTCCTCACATGACCTAAATTCATCAGATATAGGTGTGTGAGTGTACTCAATCTGACAGTAGAAGCAAGCCCGTCGTTGGCAGAAAGCATACGTCTTCTTTTGAATTTCAGGGTTTCATCATCTGATGAGTCCCCTTCAGGTTCAGTAGTTGATGAATTACAGGAGTGTGTGAAGGACAACTGTATCATTCGGTGTATGTTACTCGAAAGTTCCAACTATATCAGTTGATTCCCCAAACTCTTCTAGATTTATGGTATCGTTGATATCTTCTTCGTCAGTCAAGATATCCACGTCGGGTGGAATATAGATCACGTTATTCTTAGCATAAATTTGCTACAATACATAAGAATACGTAAATCCAAATAATACTTAGTACTTTCATTGTTATTGTCCTCATCCATCACGATCTCCTCCATAGCCGCCTCTAGTTCCTTTTGAGTCAATTGTTAACTTTTGAAGTCACATAAAAGATCTTTCCTTTATACATAAATTAGCGATTTCTACGGTTTTATGTCCTTTAGTAGTGATAATAATAAAATTTCGAAATGGATGTGCAAAAACATTTCCTGGATGTGACAAAAAAAATCATGCGTCATGCATTACCGCACCACTGGGACAAAATGGGTTAAAACCAATTTGCACAAATTTCTCCAATTCAAGCAATTATTAATTAAACATTTTCGAACCTTCTAAGCAAAAACCGAATTATCGAATGAATTGGTGCAGCTTCCATGGTACCCAATCGCAGAATCTCGTTTCCTTATATAACGTAAAAATAGATTTAGTGCCAATAATACCGAGACATAAACAACGTCGACGCAGAAAAGGATAAAGCTAACAAACTTGAGTTTAAACTGGAATTAGCTCTCGGCTTTCCATTACTTTTGGGAGAATAAAGTTTGATAATTGTCTTGAAGGTGTCCGCGGTCGAATTTTCGGGCTCCCGCGGCAGCATTTTCCCGCGAAAAATGGATGATAAAGGACGATTATTGTCTTGGCGCCGCTCCAGAAGCCAAATGGCAAACTCTTACATTCGGCGATTCAGCTGCGGTTCAAACGGTCATTTCAAATCGAATAGGGAAAATGCATAACGACTCTTAATAAAGAAAAATCGCTTTTGTGTCAATTTTCCTTTATAGAATGATGGAAAAAAATAGATAAGGTCATATCTAAGCCAAATGATGACACACGATTAAACACTGTTAAAAAAGGTTCCAGACAAATAATAACAAATTATGCAGATGACAGGAATATTCTAATTGGCTACAAGTATCTGCATAAGCTCCTAAATGAATAGGAATCGTTCCTTGATAGAATTATTATATGGTTCATGAATAACAAATTAATTCTCAAGACAGACAAAACAAATGCCGTATTCTTCAGAAGCAAACAGTCTAATATAGACACAATAGGCAACCTCAGCGTAGACCTACGCTTGTCGGGGGTTAATATCTGAATGAACATCTGGACTGCTCTTTTCATACAACTCAATAATTAAATTAAATTGAATATGTTACGGTATTAGGACGGTAGGTGTTGTATTACTTCGAATCACGACTGAAATACCGAATAATCTTTGAAGGAAAAAATTAGAAGCATTCAAGACTCTTTTATAAATCAGATAAGGACAATCAGAGCCGAAATGTGTTTAAAAAAATGGGACTTCTGAATACCTTATGTTCCTTCACAGAAATGTTTAGTATCTTTCCTAACAACACCTCAAATAATTAAATTCTAAGCAAAGTGCGGACCTGTTCGACCATATTTCATTCTTACAGCTTGCCCGGGTCTTTCCTTAATTCGTATCAGTTAGTCACTTTCCTATATCTATGAACATACTTTACCGAGATAGCAATAGTGGTAATTTTATTAAAAACCTTTTAAGAAGATTTTCTCCTCCATATAGTACAAAACTTTTCCGAAGGCTATGTATATACATTTCTTATAAATACCTTTAGGTTGAGTTTTTAAAAATTCAAAGGTGTTGTCTAACCATTTCTTATTTTTCTCCACAAACCGCGACTCGACTTTACAGGATTCGGTCTACCTCCGATATAATTTTGCGCAAAAATCTTCTTTAATGTAAATGTTCAATATTAGCAAGCTCTTTTATTTTTTTAATGGCTCTCGTGCCAATTTTGAATCCTATATTGGCATCCTTTAATGTCAGAAATAAGTCCCGATTTGTTTTAGTCAAATTCAAATTGGATCCAGTTTTCTCATATAAAAATTGCAGTTGTTATCTTGGTAGCCGATCGTAGCAGACAAATGTTATATTTTCGTGATCGTAATATTCCAGCAATTATATTGAAGTTATATAGATTGAACGAATCCTGCCGAATATCAAATTTTGTAAATAGAAAAACTTAGATGTTGATATATTTTTAACTAAATTATTTATTTAAAATTTAATAATTAAATAAATAATTAAAAATTATTTATTAAAATATTTACTATTTCCAATATTTTATACTAGATTTTTTTTATATTTGCTTTTCATTGGCATTTCATTAAAATAGTAGTAAAATTTGTAATTAGACACACTTGTAGCTTTAACGCATAGAGATATCTATCACCCACAATTACAATAAAACCATAACAAACAGACTTCTTTCTAAATAATTGTGTCAATTTAATTCTAAAAATATTAAAAAAATTTTTTGGTCTATGTCTATGTTACATTTTCTCCTTTTCTTTGGCGACATGACTGTTTTTGCTACCATAAATTATTTAAAACATGCCAAAAATCTGGCACACTAAACGCGTTCGTATAGGCAATGGATACGTTAAAAGATTACATTTGCAATGCGAATACATTAAGTGGTTTTCTATTTTCTTATGGGGGTTTGGCAACAAGTTACGTAACAGTATGGGAAACCGAAAAAATCTACTCGGAAGACATGAATTCGGATATGTATAAAGTCCATTTTGGTGATTTTGAAGCAGCTATTATTTACGATGCATAAAGAATATACTTTAAAAAATAGCGGCGTTAATGAGCACTGAAACTGGTTAACCATATTGTATGTGGTGATAATTAGAATACGGTCCTGGAAGGTATAGCAGAAAAACCATCATAGTATGCCTTGGCACATTGTCCTTAATGCAAGTAGGATTGATGAGAAAATCTCACTTTTTAGTGACTATGTACTGCATGTTTTTGGCAAGAAATTTATTGCGAAAACTTAAGAACAAAGCATTAAAACAATTAAACAATAAAAAATCCCTGTACGGGTTATTCATTATATTTTGACAACCACCTACAGGGTAAATTTTGAAGGATAGAAAGAAAAGTGTAAATACAAAAGTTTGAAGTTAGTAAATTGAAAGGAAATATTGTCCTATATATAAAAAATAATGGAGGATAAGTAGAAAATGGTTAGCATTAATTATTAATGTTTTTGTTTGAATAATATATTATTTGGCGTTTTTCTTCCTCAGTATAATCCATTTGAAATATCTTAAGTTATTTAACTTACCCTGTAGATCTTTAATTTTGATTATTTGTCAAAGGTAGAACATTGTTGAAACAATTGGAAACATAGATAATATGGTTGCCGTCAAGGCAGACTTGACCATTTTCAAACAATATGGCTATTGTCCACAAATCGAATGATAATTATTTTTAAACTGAAATATCTCAAAAACGGCTAAATAATATATCAATAAACTATATGTTTTTGAAATCAGGAAAAAAAGATCTACGATTTGAGCTAATAATATTTTTTAAAAATGATATAACTGTCATTTGACATATTATATATTAATATTAATTAATGTCAACTTAATAAAAAGCGTTAATAACAATGCAAAAAATGACATGATAATAATTGTTTGGTTGGTTCTCAAAAATAATTATGAATAAACTCTCGGTAGATCAATTCAAATCCAGTATAACGCAACAGTTTAGTTGACAAATTTTGGTGGGTCGATAGTCTTCAACTACAGTTACACGAAATATGTTCCTAGAATCCTTGAATTAAACTTTCAAGGCTAGGCGGATGCGTACTGCTTGTAGGTTCGTTATTTCAAAAATAAGTAAAAAACAATTAAAAGTAAATTTATGTAATTTTGAAGATATTTGTTGTGCAAATATTATTTTTATTTATTGACTTTTCGTATCGACGTACCCAGCGCTGTACAACAATATTTTTTGTTTTCTGGTCCGAACATAGCATAGCATAGAAAACAATATTATATGATCTGACAATATTTTTAGGTAGTTTAGGTATTTGTTGCCTAATTACTGTTCCTTTTTTTTGTATATACATGCCTTAAAAATATTATATTTTGTTTATAATTTAATTAGAAATACAACAACCTATTTATCAAATGTGCTTAAAAGTGGGATAGATTAAGTTATTATAATGATTTAAGAATTAAATTAAAATAATACATTTGCGTCCAACATCTAGAACTAATAGAAATGTTAAATATTTGTAGGTAACGCTAATTGCACAACTTAAGTTCAGTAAAAACCTAAGATTTCTAGTTGAGTATTTATTTAAATTATCACAAATATTAAATGTTACTATTTTTTATAATTTAATTCCCTATAATGCATTTTTTGTATAATCTTTAATAAGAAATAACAATATCTATTGTTGTATATATATGCCTTCTTTTTAATATATTAAAACTTTTTCTTTCATTTTTCGAATATCCTACCTTTGGAACACCATCTTTAGTGTTGGTAATTTAATAAAATGACTCAAATATGGGTATTACATGCACTCGATAATCAGAGAAAATGTTCTTAGTCCCTTTGCATACCTTACTAGGTTTTGGTGCTCCACACCTTTCCCAAATAAACAATAAAACTAAAATATGGTTCTTCATTTTTCTTTTCTAGAAAATCAACTAATTTTAACAGATCCAGAAACCAAACATAAGTTCGTTTGCTATCTTATCTCTATTACTCAAAGAAAACAAGCAGAAAAAACTTAATTAAAAACAATATTAAAAAAAAACATCCTTCAAAGTTGCGCTCTATTGAAAAGCAATAATAATTTGTGTGTATATTGGAACAAGGGCTTAGTTTAAAATCAATATTTAGTTTTTTCTTCTTCTCTAAGGAGTAGACAAAATTTAAAAAATATAAAATAATAGTAAAACTTAACCGCACGAAATTAAGGAGAATGATCAAGTCGTTCACTAATGACAATTGATGTTGACACACTAGCAGAATATTTTGTCGTGCCTTGGAATTTAAAAATACGTACTTGCACTCCAAAGACACCAAGGAATATGCCACACACAATCAGAAATTTCATGACTCGAAAAATAATATTAAACTAAGTCGTGTTTGCCATTTCGGCAACTATTTATACTTATCATCAACGATTGATCGCGAAAACTGGTCTAGGCAACAACTGAAAAAAATTTAAAGTTCGAAATCGTCTTGAAGCATACAGATACATCAAATATCAGAACCGACTTAGGTTGAATTTTGAACATAATAAGACGTTATTTCCCTGCTTCTTTTTTAATGTCTGTTTAATTAAAAGTCTGTAATCAGTCTGTAATAAAAACATATAAAATTAGACTTCATTATTATTTAACATTTAATCAATAGTTTGAAAATATCATATAGCATTTTACAGTGTGTCCTAAAATATTATTTTCGCAGCTATAACTTTAAAAATGAAATGAAATTAAGGATTGCCAGTTTTAATTTTAATCAGTATATCATATTTGCCGACATAGAATACATTTTTTTTCATTAAGCATTTAAAACATGAAGACGTAGTAATAATATTATTAATAATATTAATAATTAAAGAGCATTTTTACAGCTATAATAATATAAGTTAGCAACAATCGCTACATCGGTAGACATAGTAGACATAAAATATTTATTATTTTTTTAATTAAGCATTTAAAACATGAAGGTGATGAAAGAATGAAATGGTTATAAATACAGAGCAATTTACAGTATTTTCTTAAACATAATTCTTGCATTTAGTTCCTCTTATTAATAAATATCAAGTGCAGATTGAAGATTTTTTCATTGAACGATGATTCGTTTGACGAGTGATGATTGTTGTTAGTTGTTACAACCAAATAAAACCGGACCCCAGGGCAATTACGTCCCTGCCTCTTCTTTAACGGTACCGACACGTACTGGCCAAAATGGAGATCGATCTTCACAGAGGTTGTTTCCAATTAGCAAGCCACGATTTGAAATAAGTAATGCTGGAGATAGTTCAAACATTGACCATGGCCTTCGATTTTTTTTCCTAGGGGAGGGCGTTGAACCACGGTCTCATTTGGATCCAGCAAATCCAACAAGTTTTTTTCTCTATATTAGATGAACGATTTTGAGATGTAGACGTCAGTTAACAACAATTAAAATTATTACGTAATAAAATAATTAGATCATATTTTATACAGTGTCATTCCAGTTAATGAGTTTTATGCAACAAAAATAATTAATTAATTCATTTACGAATTTCAAAATTTTATTAGAAATCACTTCGTTTTCAGTTTTGTAAAAATAAGTCAATTTAAAAAAAAACTCACAAACTTTATTTTTTTTTGTTTTTTTTAGGAGTTAAACTACTTTATTTAGAATATTGAAATCATCAAAATTCATGCTAAGTTGATATGGTTTTAACATTTCAAAACAAATTTATAATTTACTACATGTTATTACAATTCAAAGAAAAAAACTTGAATAAAAAATGTTCCTGTATGATGTCGACTTTAGTGGTGATACTGTATATCGAGTTAAATTTTTCTGCTAATATCCCAATATGAATAAACAAAACGCCCATATTTTTTCGATGCCTTCTTAAACATAATTATTAATAATCGACCAAAAAAATTTTTTATAATCCAATCTTGAATAAAACAAATTCTTAACTTAACTAGAACATCGTTTACTCATACAGTATTATTATTATTATTATGGTTCCATCTTTTATAAATTCTATGAAAAAATCTTAAATAAATAAGAAATTGCAAAGAAATCTTGTTACAACATCGATTCTAAATGAAAAAAAGGCTTATTTGAAATAACAATTTCGTGTTAATCCTTGCAATGGATTAATACTCACTCATCTTCCAATGCATCCTATGATTTTGGCACTTCTGATGACTTTAATGGTTGGTTTCTAGAAAGTGTGCCCCTGGTTAATGCCACGTGACCAGTATACTAATAGCGCCTCAAATCTTGCTAATAACCTTTAAGTTTTCAGAGGTTAACCTAAGGTTAAATTGAACAAATTATATAACAACTAAGCTCTAGTGCTAAAGGAGTTGATGATGGACTTGACCATCAAAATATTCATTTAATAATCCCTGTTCTCGTATTTGCAAATGTTCTGGAATCCTCCGGCGTCGATTTTTTATTAGTCAAACTTGCTGACGTTTCGCCAATCATCCTGTTGGCTTCTTCAAAGCTTAACAGAAACTGGCTCCCAATTTAATCTGTGCCTGCTTTTATTTGGTTTGAGGAGGCGGAGCTAATGGAGAAAGCTCTCGACACCTTCGCTCCCATATTTTTTTAGCCATTTAGAACAGAACAGAACAGAAAATTGAAATCTAAGTACAGAGACCGATACCTTAAGGCATTGTCACATCATTGTAAACTATCTTAACCCGAGTCACTGAATCCAGAATTAAAACACCTAATCTCTGTTCTTCTCTTTAATAATTTCCACATTAGCCTTTCATCATAAAATACACTTCACCACAAAGACAATGAGTCCGGAAGCAACCCCACACTGTTATCCTTCCTTATATTCAAAACATTACTGATCACATATCAAACGTTCTTAAGAAATATAACGTCAAACACAGGTTAAGACAAAATTCCGTTTGAAGTACCCATGCATATTGCGCCAAAAAATACATTGGAGAGACCGGACGAAAAATCCAAAAAATGCTCAACTAGGTTCAAAGAACATAAAAGAGCCTTAAGACCACAACAAATCAACCGATTAGCAGTTGCCGAACACCATCTATGAGCAACCACACAATCTTAACTTCTCAAGTAAAGTCTGTTCATAGATATAAGAAAGTGACTAACTGATTCGAATTAAGGGAAGACCCGGGCAAGCTGTAAGAATGAAATATGACCGAACAGGTCTTTACTTTGCTTAGAATTTAATTATTTGGGGTTTTGTTAGGAATAGCTCTTTTTAGAATTTTTAAGGGGTCCATTTTACCCCTGGTATTACGCAAAGGGCTAAAAATGTACAAATAAGCAGAATTTATAATTATAATAACCAAAAAAAAAATTGGTTAATTTTTGAAGTGGCCCAGGGGGTCGCTTTGCCCCACCCTCCTCTATATATAATTCAAGCTGATAAAACTCCACTGATTTATGTAATTTTTTTTTAAGCTATTGTGCACGGGTACTGGTAACACATTAAAAAAGACCTTTAACGCTAACATATCTCAGCCAAATCAATTTGAGCCGCTATCATAATTTTTAAATCTGTTTTGTTTATTGTGTGTGCAGTTAATGTGTTACATCTTGTGTTTGGAATATGCTTATTACTCTTCAGTTCTCTATTGTGCCTTGTGCCATGCCCAAAATAACACAATCGTGATTTAACAAAATATCTCTGAAGTTTTATATTCTTTATTATCACCTTAACGAAAACTACAAGCTATACGACCTAAGCATTTGTAGATATGCACCGTATACTTTCATACGCGCTTTGCTCCGGACTATTCCTCCGGATTAAGCACGTCCTGACTAGCCGATCGACTTTAGCTGGCGGAAACCTAGACGATAAATCTCTGCGTATTGCATTCTCCCGAAAATTTCCGTTTCCGTCCATGTAGCCCATGCGCACGCCCATGCACAACAAGTGAGTCTTTAACGCCGGATTATTGGGAAACTGACCCCTTAAGGTTCCCATAAGCACCGACTGGGACACGCCGCTCTGTTTCTGGCACGCTGAATTGTGCCTCATGATCGATTGAATATTCAACTAAAATTAGATTACTATTTCAATGTCAAATTCCCGAAATCAAGAAAATAACTTCAGCACTGGGTGCCCACAAATATATTAATGATTAATGATAATTTAATGATTATATTAAGACATTTTATTATTAATAAATAATATTTGAAAAATATATTTAAACACAAAAAATTAAAAAAAAACACACATTTTCGGAAGAAATACCAATGACTAAGTGCGGAAGTCTAGCTCTCAGTCAACCATAAATTAGCAGGACTGAGAACTTCCGGATTAAAAATTAATTAAATCAAATCGAATATTTCGACTAGCAAAAACGTATAAGCAAGAGGAATAAATAAAAAAAACAAGAAGATGGTATAAATATTTGAAAAAGTCAAATTGAGAAACAGTCAAAACAAAAAAACATGAAAAAAAATATTTATTCATTATTTCTGCCCACGATTACGGCGTAATCTTTAAATTTTAATAACACAGGGGGTCCTAATTAAGAAAATTTGCAATAAAATAATTCAATAACTATATTTTCTTTGAATTTGGCCAATGTAAAAAAAGAAAATATATTTAATATTTATGAAAATAATAAAACTTTTTATTATTAATAAAAAATCTTTGAAAATATATTTAAACCAAAAATTAAAAAAAAACATTTTCGGAAAAAACCTGCGAAAGCCAAGCTCGCAAATTAATAAAATCAAATTAACTACTTCCACTATTAAAAACGTATAAGCAAGAGGAATAAAGAAAAGAACAAAATGATGGTACAACTATTTGAACCGGTCTAAACCGAAAAACAGTCCAAACAAATAAACAAGGAAAAAATTATGGGGTTAAATAAAAATGTAATGGAAATGACGGCGTAATCTTTAAATTATAATAACACAAGGGACCCTAATCAAAATCTTAATAATTGTGTTTTTCATTGAATTTTATATTCAGATATAAAACAGTTTTTTAAGTAGTTGAAATTGTTTATAGTTTATGTTGCAAATTTGGTTGTTATTTGCAGTTCAAAAGTGCAAAATTATATAAAATATCGAACAAAAACAAAAAATATATAAAATCGACTCTGGTCAAATTCGAACAAAATAATTTTTGCAAATTAAAACGCAAATTTCGAATCAAAAATCTTATATATCTTAGTTGGCCAGAAAATTTCGCAAATTCCGATTTATCGAAGAACTCACCTGACAATTCGCAATGCAAATGGTTACTACGAACAGAAAGGTTTTTTTTAACATTGCTTGAACTTGAACTGTTATTCATTGTTGCAAAAATTGCGCTGCATATCCTACTTTGGTATTATTATTTATATATATTGTTTAAAACAACGGAAAACTTTAATTAGAACGAAAAAATTCCGTTAATAATATTGCATTAGCAATTGCAGGAATAAAATCTTATCACGCATCGCCGTATTTTTTTCCTTTGCCAAATATTTTCAAAAATTCGTTGGTCGATCTAAACTCATTCGACACATAAATATATAAAATATAAATAAATATTTACTTATTACTTATTTATTTCTAAAGGTTTCATGGTGTTTAGTAGTAATGCGAAAGTACTATAGGCAGATAAACATTTTAACGGAAAGGTCTAAAGACACGTCAAAAAAAGGTGTCTTTGGGAAGAACACCACAATAACGTTTCTAGTTCAACCACTAAAAAAAAGATATTAATGTCTTCAATGATATCAGTAATGCATAAGAAATTTCCTTCATTTGGTTAGTTTTGGTAAGAAATAGCCCTTATTCCTATTCCTATTTCTATTCTTTTTCAGACCTTTTGATCCATTATACCCCCACTTACCTCTTTTATGATGCGTTTGGGTTGAGCTCCTAGCACTCTCAATCGGTGCCCCTTTTATTGAGCAGCTGGTTTGGAGATGAAATGGAGTTTCCTTCTCTTTTAAGTGTAGCCCATCCCTATGAAATAAAGGTAACTGCTTTGATGGCAGTCACTTTTTAGTATTTCTTCCCACGTTCATGAAATACAACCGGGTTATACAAACTTAGTGTGTAAGCGTATAAAATTTAAAAAGTAAAAAGAGTGAAACAGCTGTTTGGAAATCAAAATCAACAAAATACGCTATAAAAGTTCATCTGATCTTCGAAAGTTTTTCTGTCACTGCCAAGTATCCACCTCCCAACATCTCTAAAAATTGATTAAGGCTTCCGCGGCCAGCGTTTGAACTGTAAATGTTTTTGTTCGGGCTTAATGCCCGTCGTTGAGTGGAAATCTTCCTGACGTTTCGCTAACACGAGCGACTAGCTTCTTCTGAGGTGCTTCCATCTCCGATGTTGGCTGCAGACTGACGCGCTCTCGGCCGTAAGTTGTATTTATGCCTGGGAAGTCGTGGAGTGGAGGGGGCGGGGCATTTTAAAGCATGAGTGGTTGTGACTACCGGGGCTGTCCTTGTGTTCCTTAAGATGGGGTTCCAAATTTGTTTGAGCTGCAGTGTCTTTTCTTTTCTATTGAAAGTATTTGTATGTTTATGGATTTCTATTGCTTCTCGTACGAGGCGGGCATGATAGCCCGAAGTAGGCGCAAGAAGCCTGGCTTCCCTAAAAATAATGTTGTGATCCCCCTCACTGAGCGCGTGTTCCGCTACTGCCGATTTTTCTGTTTTTCCCAATCTGCAGCTTCTCTGATGTTCCTTTATCCTGGTTGCGACAGATCTTTTTGTCGTTCCAACGTACACCTTTCCACACGCATGGTATGCGGTAGACTCCGGCGGCTGACAGTGGATCTCACTTGTCCTTGGCTGATCTTAGCGTTTGTTGTCTTTTCCTTGTTGGTTGGCCTCCCCAGGCACTTACGGCCGGGAGTGCGTCCCATCCAACATCGGAGATGGAAGCACCTCAGAAGAAGCTAGCCGCTCGTGCTAGCGAAACGTCAGGAAGAAATTCAACAAACAAAAACACTTACAGTATCTCTTAAATTTATTAAGTGTATGTGCAAAATCCCTGCTTGAACGCTGGCCAATTGTCTTTGAACAAGTCGTGATAGAAGTCGACCCCATCCTAGTCTAATGTTCTACTAACTTTAATAAAATTTTATTTTTGAATATATTCCTCCTTAATATAAAACAGTATTGACGCTGCACATCTACTAGTCTGCTCTCCCGATACAAACCACCAATAGAGTAACGGAAATATTTTCTATATATTATTCTAGTAAGCCATTTTTCGGCAATTCTATCCCAAGCAAGAATTCCGTAAAATCTCTAAGGTATCTAAAACTCGAAAAAATGCGCATGATGTTTTTAATATTGAAATGACTGTCAATAACAGGCCAACAATTTTTAAACTTTTGAAAGTTGAATTTCTATATGACATTTGATTCTGCTCTCCTTTACTCCTCACCCACTGCACCAGTGTGAGTGTAAACAGTGTTGATTTATGGTCATATTGCATCCGATTTTCCTAAATTTCCCTTGAAACCTATGCAATCTTTTCAGATTCGATCAAGGTATTCACAAAATCTTGATCTTCCATTAATCGCCTTATTTGAGAACCTACAAAATTTGCTTCCTTTAATTTTGCATCTGAGAAAGCGGTTGGTACTGAAAACATACTCAATCTGTATTAAAAGCTGACCTTGTAAAAGTCCCACAATTTTTAAATCACCACAAATCATCGAACTATAGTCCTTGTATTTGATTTTCTCAAGCAGTAGTTTCAGATTTTGATAGCATTCTTTCATTTGCACAGACTTCATGTTCGGATAAACAATACTTTTCAAATATTTAGTATTATATTCACTAACATTGCACTTGCAGAAATAACAGTCCTCATGGTCACTTGTTGACTCTTTTCATATCATAGATATTCCAAAAGGTAGGGATCGCCTGGTTCCATTATTTCAATGTCTTAAACGTTCTTCACCTACCCAACAAACAATACGTGGTGGTTTGTCTTGATCACCAATTTTTACTTTAAAATTGGCGTAGCATTGTTTTTTCATCAGGGGTAATTGTACGTCTAAACTCCTTCACCACAAAAGAAATTTCAATTTTAAGAATTTTTAAGAGAATAAATATGACATCTCAAAAGTTAATTTAATAATGCTGTGTGTGTTAGTTCAGTCAGTATAACTCCAAAAATATGGAAAATACCATATCGTAAAATCTTTGTTGTCATGTGATAATTATAGATACTACTATATAGTTCAAGGTTAACTGATTGTACCCAAACAATAACACAAACATCATGAAATCGGTTTCTATGCATTCTTTTTAATTTTGTCTTATTTGGCCTATACACTATTGCAGTATCATGGGCAAAATTTATTATTTTCCAAGGGAATTTATTGTCATTAAATCATTAATACAGATAGAGAAAAATAACGGCCCGGGTGCAGTACCTTGTGATATACCACAGCTTTTCAGTAGCTTGTAGATTGCAAATGCCTTGGAGAGATTCAAAAACACCGATATACTAGGCCATTTCGAATCTAATGTATTGTAAATCTCACCCAAAGGTCACAAATTACGTTCTGAGTCGATCTATTCTCCCTAAACCCCTACTGACGATTTGGTATTGAATCAAAGTTGTCCAAAATGTTCATTATTCGAATTTTTAATATTTGCTTAAATATTTCGAAAATACTGATATCAGCGATAAGGAACGACAGAAATTTTAGTTTTGTCTGTTCCTTTGTATGCGGGCTTGAGTATACCAATCTTGAAGCAGTCAAGAAAGCATTGATCACGAAAGCATTTATTAATAAAATGTGTAAATACTGGTGATATTTAATCAATAATCAACTTCACAACTTCACTTCTTATATCCTGAAAATTTCTTTTATTTTTATGTTTCAGAAGTTTATTTTACTTCGGAAATAGTTGTTTCATTCAAGCACATTGTATTGTGCAGGAGAGGCATATTTTACTACAATGAACATCAAAACTGTGTGAAATGTGTATTATTTTCTGTGTCCATTTTACTTACCTTAGCCCTGCACCTGGGTCTTCCATAAATCTCATTTACGCATTTATTGAGCTCTGCAGCATATTGAATGCTAATTTTTGCAGTACTTTCAGGCAATTCGAAGAAAAAATAATTTTCTGCTGAAATGGAGCAACACTTTTTTAAATTTTGATGATAACAGGGATCAATCAAACAAAAGCTGCTTTCAAAGTCATCTAATTATATGTAATCAAAACCACGCGAATGTAACTAGAGCGAAAACCAATCACAATCTGTATTCCTTAGATATACAATGTATGGAATCGAATGCAGTCTGGATAGGAGTAGCCTTCCGCACCAAGCATTCCTTTACTGCGACTTCGATCCTGTCATTCGAGAGTCCGGTGCTCATATCTTTGCGAATTTCCGTCTCGTTGAAGTTCCCCTCGCCGTCGATGTAATTCATTCTTTTGCCCAGACAAAAGAGGTGATTTTTCAGTCTGTCATCTTCTTCGAATTCTCCTCGCAGCGTATTCATGAGCATCATCTGCGGCACCTTGCTCTCCTTTTGACACTCCGCGTTGTATTTCATCACGACCTGAAGCCTTTCGGGCGGAAGCTGCAACTTATATTGAAGCAACAAATCATTTTAATGGAAAAATATCGCCACACCAAACTGATGCGCCAGGAAATTTGTGTATTGTATTATAACTTTTTAATATATATCTCGAATCCATGTGAAATAAAAGCATACGAATGGGAAAATCTGCGTGAAGAAGTGTCGCGTCTCCGGGGATTGACTAAACTTCAGGAAACGTCTGAAGTCAAAGTATAAAGGGAAGTTCATATTAACATATCGCGGGAAACTCTGTGTGAGCGGTATAAAGTTCGCAAAGAAGATTTACGATTTGACAAGTCTGTTCCCGATATTGATTGACATAGTTTTGGTTTTCATAGTCTATGAATTAGTCGAGTTCCACACCGGGTCTCCCAGGCAAAGATTAGGTAAATGGATCGTCCTAGAAATTGGCCTAAGATGGCATGGTGCTTACGACGAACTTATTTTCGAACGTACTCATTCAACAGAAGAATACGTATCAGCACACTCCGGGTGTTAATGGAGATAATCTCTAGAATCTTCGGCCAATCATTCAAATCATTTTTCGGTAAGTCTCAATATAGAATATTGCAGGCTTAGATGTCAAATTTTATATAGTCATGAATTACGTACAAACGAAACATATTTTCTTACATATAGCTTTAATTTGAGAATATAATTGTGCGAAGTGATATATTCGATTTCATTTCCAACATTTAGCTATTGTTTTGATGGCATAATGATGTGATCGAATGATGGCACTATATGCCACCATAGGAAACGAAATTATAGATGTCCTTGACATTTCAGATGTGTTTTTAATTTTCAGTCATCACTCAAAGTGGAAGAGAATGCAAGAATGGCAAATGCTAGGCGAGAAGCTATAGATAGCGTAAAAGAAAAGAAAACGGATTGGCAATTAGCTGCCAAATCATTTAATGCTCCCGAAATGACCATGCATATACAATTTAGAAGGAATGACAGTTCAATGGGCTTAAGGTTCTTTGGTTCCACTATCAACAATCTGAGAAGACTAGTTTACCAGTTGCATCGGCGAACAACTTACGTCATGGCTTTAATCGAGAAAAGCAGATAGCTAGCATGTAGCAGGTAAAAGGTTTTTTGACAAGAAATCATAACATACATAATAACATCGGATCGCATTTTGCTTCATTAGAGGCCACTTTGCGTTATTATAATTATAAACTGGAAAACATATGATGTTGACGAATCTATACGAAAAAAAAACCTCAAAAAGGGTTTGCTACTAAAGGCCGCAAGCAGTTTAGGGCTCTTAACAATGCTAACTGTGTAAAACATCTGAGAGTGATTTGGGGCACGTGCACATTTATACCACGAGTCTTCATCTTTGCAAAAATTTGTAAACGAACTTATGGACAGTGCTCTCCTAGTTACCCAAGAATTTTACCAAGAAAAGGGTTGGATGACAGTAGAACATTTACTAAAGTGCCTTCAACATTTTGCACACTATACCAAAGCTTCTCTAGAAAATATAGTACTCATGCTTCTAGATGGCCATAGCAGTCACAAAAGTTTTCCAGCATCCAGAATTTGGATTTTTTGGACAAACATACATTGGCCAAGAAATTCAAAGATGACTTAGACAAAATATGCTACATTATGCCTTTTCCAAAACTGGAATCGCTAACCATAGACAAGCCTTTGGATCAACAGCCTGAAGAAAGATTAGGTTAAACTTCTTTGACTAAAACTAGCGACCACTAATAAATTATCACGGATTCATCTAGCAACACCTAGAGAAAATAAGATAAGAGTAAAAGAGGTAAAACGCGTGTTAAACACAACGCCAGTTAACACAAAAAGAAGACGAAAAAGCAAGAAAAATTTTGGCGAGTAAAATGAAGAAAAAATTGTAGACGAAGAAGATGACCAAGAAGAATTCTGCAATACTGCTATGGATGACGACGTCGATGATGATGTTTATATTGCAACGAAGTTTACTCACGGTCTCGTGGTCAATACATGTGGGTCTAATGCCAAAAACGCAACCCGCGGTGCCACGGAGAGTGTACTAGGATGGATACCTATGCCTTTATCTAGCATTTTTCGTAAAATTATATCACTCTATTATCTTATTTGATTCTTTTTTTTATATGTCCTGTATTATATAAATTGTAAGTATATGGTCAAATAAATTGAAATTCTAAAATAAATGTGTCAAAGCGTTTAGAAGTATCAAAATTATCACTGCGTAGCAGATTGCGTATTATGTATCATCATAGAAAACAGGACGGCTTATGATGAACCACCGCAATAAAATATTAAAACTTGGTAAATTCAGAAAATCACTTCCCATATTAATGTTTGTCATAAAGTATAATGTTGCCTCTATCATAGACGACTTTCTCTTCCTCTTAATGTGAAAATTCGTTTGTTGTAACTTTTTTTATGTTAATGTTAGTTTACTTTAATGTTCTTTGCTAGTGGGGTAAGAAACCTGTTTATACTGAAAATTATTAAATATTAATTATTAATAACAATTAATAATAATAATGCTTTCACTTTTTATGGTAGTTTACTATACCTACATAGATTTTACAATTTTTTTTTGGATAATCATGATAAAAGGAGTTCAGGCTAAATGTATCTTGCCCCTATGTACCTTCAGTATTTAATGATAGACATGAAAGTGGCATTATTTTCAATCTTTTAAAGAAAAGCTTACAATGCTCTAAACAACCTGCACACACCAATACTCCAACTACCTTCTTTTGGAGTTTAAAAGCCCGATCAGCTGTAGAAAAGTTACCCCACAGGACAATACCATAGGTGCTAATGAAGGAGAGAATAATCATCATCAATGTATCCACAGCGATTAATTTTCTTAATTAACTATCTACAAAGAACAAAGAATTGACGTGCTGGCTGACAGTTTGTCTTACTATGCTTTTTAAACATTCATCATATGTGTAATAGCGACAATTTGACTGACTTGCCGGCTTTTTTCTCCACTTTTTGATGGTAAAAATTGGGTTTTCACTAACCCCACTTAGTCTTGATTAGTTTTGGTTATTGGCCTAAGTGGTAGTTGAACGTGTATTGCAATAAGCTTTTAATTTATCTGGACTTGTACAGATTTATATAACGGTTGCTGTGTTCTGTGCACTACCAGTTAGATGATATGGTAACTGTCTTCAAATCCAACTCAAAGCTTGAGAGCCGTTAAAAATTTATTTTAATAATAACGATAACGTAACAAATCCATTTACTTGGGTTTCCTCTATTCTGCTCTGAGACCCGAACAAAAATCCAAATTTCAAGATTTCCAAACTCTCCAAGCTGCAGATATTGGTCCAGAGACGGATGATAAGAAACCCAAGTGGCACTGTTTTTTTTTTCTAATAATAATCATCGTCTTAAATTTTTTTGTTTATTGCGAGATATATAATTTAAACGTTAATAACATATATTATACTAATAAATGAAATAAATAAATAAAACAGAAAAATTAGTTTTAACTTAGTTCTTCATGTTTTATCAAACATCAATTTTGTACTCAGACCTGAGAGACTAAGCGACTCAGACGTGACTAAAATAATTTAAAGCTCAAAAAATGTTGAATTTTGGGAAGCAATTTGATGTTGATGTCTAAGATTCTCAACCCATCAAATCAAATTTAAATATAACGTTTTTATCATTAAAAATTACCCACAAAACATTGACGATATTATAAAATTATATTGAATAAGAAACTTAATCAAAATGAATCCAAAATTATTTTTTTCTTAGCTTTGGTGTCAAGCCGTATCACCAATATTGATTTTCAAACTCGGCGTATTTTTTTTTTGTAATTTTGCAAACGGAAAATATAGGTATCGATTCAGCATAAATTTCACATCTAGTAAACAAGCGTATAAATAATCAGAAATAATCTACGTTGCTATGTATGTGCATGCACGCTGGAGACTTTGCGTTAATAACGGAACAGTCATTAATTTCGCTAATGGTGACTCGGTAAATCGAACAAGCAGAAATTATGTTTCCTAATCGGATAGTAATCAATTTGTCGCCTTTTCCATTCGTTTGCCGTTAACCGCTCGCACTTCTTCCTCAAAAGCACCCGTAACTCTCAAGTTTTGAGGTTACATTTATAAGTTGTATTCTTTGAAGTACTGATATTAATTTTATTACTATTATGACAATTAAATCACTGCTATTTCTCGGTTTATTGGTATAAATCGCAAACAATATGTAGAACTTACACGATGAAAAAAAATTTGACAATGCTGGGTGCCGCAAAGCTCTACGCCTGGTCCGGTGCTTCTTTAACTGTAGAAAAACGACTTGATAATCTTTGTTATTGCTCGCCAATCGCACAGTTGCAATATTTTGCGATTATGATTATGAGTTTTCATCTTTAAATGATGAGCTATAATATATATTATATATATAATATAATTTATTGCCAAACATACATAAACAACACATTTAGAGTTGTCTGTATGAGTTTTCCAAGTAAACATACAATGTATATAACAAACAGTGTACGCATACACAAAAACAATCTAAAATTCAGAGGTCAAGTAGCTTTTAAAGCTTCATTGAAAAAATATCTTGATAGTTATAATAGCATTCTTATTTTAAAATGTGTTCAATGTTTTTTTTTTTAATTCCAATGAGGAACAGTTGTTTTTGAGAGTTGGCGGTATATTGTTATACAGTTTAATGCCAATCAAGTTACTAGACGATTGAGTTATGTTTACAAAATGATGGGGAACACACAGACTATTTCAATGCCTGGTGCCATACATGTGAAAGACGGAATTAATTATTTTTTTTATTTTCATGGACGTACATTATGCAGTGATAAATGAAATTTGAAGGGAGAGTTAGTATTTTCATTTTTTAAATATTGGCTCACAGTAATCCTTATTTCATGCACAACACAAAGTTCGAACAATCTTTTTTTGAATTTTAAAGATTTTGTCTGCCTCTCAAGAGTCTCCCCACAATAATATGCTATATGGGATTACGTTAATGAAGTTTTATAAATTATGTATCGGTCATTAAAAGATTACATTACTAACCGCTACAGACGGGACATCTCATACAACCTTTAAGGTAGAAGCGACCAACAAAGTTTATAACTATTGATAAGTGTTTTCGAAGGATAAAACTATATCTATTCATATTATATTTTATAAACTGTAACTGTGAATGACTTGACATAAATCAACTTAATACTCAACAGAGAAATACTACTTATAAAAATCAGGATTTACGTCAATCCAGTCTCATGAGGTTACATCATAATTCACACTCAACATGGAAAGACAATGTCATGTTTAAATAATATAATATTTTAAAATTTTAAAATTTAGGCTAAGGAAACAATTATGTGAGTCAATTGTTGTCTCACATTTTAACTACTGTGATGTAGTGTATGGTTTTTTTATTGATAACGAGTGTAAGTGCCGTATTCAATGGTTGCAGAACCATGTATCTGCTACATATCGTCAACTTAATTGGCTTAAAATGGAACAAAGAAGAGCTCTTCATTTCAATGTATTCATATCCATATCCAATTATCCATAGCCTCGATTCGCTCACTTTGCTGAGAGAGCGGCTTATTCCTAGGAGTACTATCCATTCTGTGAATGTAAGATACAGTTACAGACTAACGATGCCACATCATCAGAGTGCCTTGTTTCGTAGATCTTTCACATTCAACGCAATTCGTGTTTATAATTCTTTGTCACACGAATTCAGCAACTTAAATTTATATTCATTTAAAAAAAGGTGCAATGATCATTTGCTCCAAATACAGTTTTCCTAATAATGTGTTACTAATTATGTTATTATCAAGGGATTATATTGAGTTATCAAATTCTTTATCTTTAGTTGCATTTTCTGTAGTGTGTAAATAGTGCGCAATTTATTAATTATATAAATAGTTCTTTAGCGGTTTAGTAGAGTAGCTATTTAAGGCAACACTGCGCCGCTTTTGAGCTATCTGTTTACTTTGTTTTGAAAAATATTAATATTGTATTTTATTATTATTATTATTATTATTATTATTATTATTATTCTATTATTATTATTATTAATATTATTATTATTAGTATTACTATATCAATCGAATTGAGATATTGATTCAACGTAAAATATATTCCTACCTGAGAGTGTACAGAGCAGATTAACACCATTACGAGCACCAGCTGGTTCATTTTAAAAGCCATGCTGTTGAACACTGCAGAACTGCTAAAGAATCCGCTAAACATTGCCGAAGTTAAGGCCAAATTTTATTGACCGTAACCCTAATTACATATATTACGACGAATTTTGCCAGACAAGTCGGAATTTTGAAAAGTGACAGAGGTAGTTCGGCATGTTTTTGATGCGCTTTTAATTAAATAGTGTACTATAAAAGCAGTTATTATTTCAGTAAACGGTAATGGCAAAATTATTTCGACATGACGATTTGGATGTTTTACAAATTTTATAATAAATGTTGGATTTTCTGAAAATCTTAAAACTAACCAACCATATAATTCTGCACGAGGAAGAAGAATATTAGAAATGTTAGACATTTTCGTTGATTATATTGCTGAGCAAGTTAAATTTTCTGTCCCTGGTTAAAAAATCTGGAGAAGAAGAAAAATAACAATAAAATAAAATAGTGACGCATATTAATCTAAAAATAAACCAGTAAAAATTACATCCCTTAAAGTCTAATTTGGGATTATGTGGGTTGTGGAATGAACACAGTTTCCTATTCCTCTGCCAGCCGGTCAGTGATGTTTGACGACTGCAAATTGTTGCGAATTGAATTTGTACGTAAAAATAAGATATTATATGGGAGCAGATAAGCAAGAAAGTACAATAATCTAATAGTAAGTAGTAATTAATTAATTAATTAATTAATCCCAAAAGTGAATTAAAATATTTTCTGAAATTTTTTCTAATCAAAAATGCTTCGTTTGAACTTCCTGTACTATCAGCAGTTAGTGAAATTAATTGTATATCAAACGAATTATGTTGATCATTTTCTACATCATCTGCTGCCATATTATTGATACACTATGTGATCCATTGTATCAGCTTTATCTGCAAATGGTTTAGTCAGCTCTGGACAACCTAAAATTTGCGGCTATTTACCTGAAAACATCAAACCTCGTAATTATTGAACGCTTGAAAAAGACTGTTTGTAATTAAAATAAGATGATCCGCTGAGTGATGATTTCTATGATTTATGCTTGGTTTATATGCTTACCACCAATGCTGCCAACACTTTGCAAAGTTATTTCTGTCCAAAAGCCTTACAAACTTCACTTCTTCCGTCTAGTAGGTAAGAAAATTGACAAAAACGCAAAAAGTAAATAAAAAATTCAAATAATTTCCGTAAATCGTAGATATATATTATTTTAGCTTTTGGGCAAGGTCTACGTTTTTGCTAACAACATTCAGCACCATTGTGAAGTCTAGATTAGTTTCAATATTTTCAGGATTGTAATCGGGGTGCCTCTAAAATGAAGCCATGGATTTATCAACATCAAATTTCATCATCATCATTAACAATTGAGGGGCCTAACCATGATGAGATCGAAGAACTGGAATTATCTGATCAAGAAGCGATCAAAAAAATGTTGCCAAGAAACCAAAACTTTGGAGAACCATGATATTCGCAAGAGAGCAACTCACTGCATTGTCTAGCAATGATTGCAAATAAAATACTTACCTTGAACAAACTGCTAGTTTCATTTGGGTGACAATAGGTTGTCGTGTATTGAATATTGTCTTTACTTAAGTCATGGATTTCTTCAAACTGATGCCTAGTCACTCGAAAGTACTGTTTCATTTGAACTTCACTTAAATGTATTGAAAGATTGAATTCCCCCTTTACAAATGACTACTTTCACTGGAACATTTTTTTCGTCCTTTCAAAATCGCGTACAAAACCAAACTGCCAATTTCCGAACCGGATTCTAAATCTAAACACAATTCGTTTTCTGTATCTGTAAAAATTATAATCAAATCCTAAAATACACCCTCATATTGTCACTTTTTACCATCGCTGTGAGGATAGACACTAAACGACGCTATGTTGTGCTACCTTTAATATGCGGGTGGCCTAAGCGATATTGTCACATCATAAAAGTGCATTTCCTACTAACCAACCATACTGCTATTGGAATAAAAAAAGTTATATCTATATTTTTTGAATGTTATTGTATATGTATTAATTCCTTGAAAACTTCAACGATGCTAAGCACTGGCAACATTGTCTCAGCAGTCTCAGCCCGTTAAGATATATATGTAAACAACGCCATCTACCACGGCTGGCCCCATGTTAGGGCTTGTAGTTGGCGAACGCGGTGTAGGATTTCTCGGAATAATAATGCAAAATTATGCAACACATTCTAACGATTTAATAGACATTACGCAATAGAACGTAGATTAACTAAACGAAGACATGAAGGTATGGAAACAGGTTAATATTATTTCAAGTTGTCGAACATGCACTTGATACTCTGGTAAGCAGTTTCTTCGGCGGTTTCCTTTTCGGTCAAGCACTTTCCGATCAGATCTTCAATTTTTCCGGAATCCGATATTGATTGGGCCAGTTTTTCTCGAATAACGTCAGCGTCGAACTTCCCGTCTTCGTCTATGTAGTTCAGCTTCTTGCCCAGACAGAGGATGTGCTTTTTTAAAGCCGGGTCTTCGACGAACTGTCCTTGAATCACTCCCATGATCATCGACTGTTGGGCGTTGCTCTCTTTTTGGCACTCCGGGTTGTGCTTCATGATGATTTGCAGATCTTCGGGCGAAAATTTCATCTGTAGCAAATTATTATGATCGTGAGGATCGTGTGTAAACAGCTCCTTCTTGTTATTTTCAACGTTATGGTGCAACACTTTAGAGCTGTTATTTGAATTTGATGCCATAAAAATTATAAACGATTCTAAGAATGTACGAGGTTAGCGCCAAAATTTCCCGGCCTGACATAGATGCAGCTCCAGTATCACGATAAAACTTTGTCTTCTTTTAAATGTATATCTTAGAAGGCGGCGAAAAAAAAATTGAAGTCTTGCATCAAATAGTTTTTAATTGGTAGCATTTTAAACAAGATGTGCCCGAAAAAATGTCGCAAATAACACAAATTGAGTATAGAGCAGTCATGAAGTTTTTGACAAAAGAAAGGTTAGCATCTAAAATTATTAAAGAAAGGCTGGATGGTGTGTACGGCCAAAGTTCTCCTTCGCATTCTGTAGTGAAAGAATGGGCAAAACGTTTTCGAATGGGACAGGAGTCCCTTGAAGATGATTCAAGAACTGGTCGACCAGCGGATGTCATAACGGAAGATATTGTTGCGATTGTGGAAGAGGTGGAATTGAGTGATCGAAATTTAAAGCTTAAGGAAATCTCAGAAGTTACTAAGCTTTCTGATACAAGTGTTCGTCGAATCCTGCATGATCGTTTGGGTATACATAAGGTTAGTGCAAGACGGGCTCCTAAAAAGCTTTAGGCTATTCAAAAACAACGCCGTGTCGAGTGTGCCCGGTCTTTTTTGCAACTGTGTGGGTCGGAACCGAAGCCTGTGATAGAAACTATTGTAACGGGAGATGAAACTGTGGTTTTCTATTATGACCCTCAATCGGAAAAAGAATCAATGGAGTGGCGTCGTAAGGGTGAAGCACCTCCAAGAAAATTCAGAGTCTGCCAGTCAACAAAAATGGTGATGGCCACGATCTTTTGGGATTGTGAAGGAATTCTTTTGATAGATTTTAAAGAAACTAATACCACTGTCAATGCTAAATATCACGCAACATTATTACATAAATTGCGAGATTGCATACGTGTAAAACGTCGAGGAAAACTGACCGGAGGCGTGCGTCTTGCACCTGTCCATACTGCTGGTGTTGCACAAGCTGCCATTTTAGAGTGTGGGTTCTAACAGATAGATCATCCTTCCTATAGTCCAGATATGGCCACCGGCGACTATTATTTGTGTGGATATTTGAAAAAGGACTTACGTGGACGGCGGTTTAACGACGAAGTTGAGTGAAAAGAGGCTGTTTTAGCTCATTTTGTGGACAAACCAAAAGAATATTTTTTGAAAGGGATTGAGTTGTTAAGAAAGAGATGTAGTGAAGTTAAGGGGGAATATATTGAAAAATAATAAAAAATTGTTACTCTACTTTGTTTCTTTCATATTCAAGCCGGGAAATTTTGGCGCTGCCCTCGTATATTCTGGTTAATCTATTTTATTCCTCCAAATTTATACGGGGTGCTTCAAGATTCATAGAACCTTAGACATTTAGGTTGGATTGTTCTGAAAATTTCGTTAGTTCCATGAGCGTCGATGCTCCATCAATTGCGACATTGCCGCTTGTTCAAAAAAGTAGCATCGATACTGAAATTTTAAATTGGATACCAAATATAGGGTGTCCAGTATAAATTGATGTACATGGGGATGTATGTATATTCAAAAAAATTATCTAGCTTTGTCGTATTTTAAGTCGCTATCCTTACGTAGATACGGGATGACGGGACTAGGGAACTAGAGGAAAGTCATCTAGAAAATCTCTTGTAACAACTTCTAATGAATTCCCATACTGGGTGTCCAGTCTAAGATGATGTACATGTATATATTGGAAACCACAATACTTTCCTTATTATAGGAGCTAAAACGTTCAAGTTTTCGGGATATGGATAAAAAATAATTGGACCTAGTAACCAAATTTCTCTGAAAACTCGATTACTTTGACATTTTCAGAAAAGGGTATTTTCATTCTAAGGAATGAACAATTTTGGTCGGTCGACAGTCCCCATGCCGCAAAAGAATTGGGATTTCAAATGAAATTTAGCTTAAATGTCTTTTACTAGTTAAAAGTTATAAGTTTTTTAATTAATGGTTTCAAATAGTAAGAACAGTGGTAATTGCTTTTCTCGAGAATCTTAGCCTTCACGAATTTGGAACCTCTTGGTAGCAACTAGATGGGGCAGCGGCTCACTGCAGTGAAGAGATGTCAAGAGAATTACACGCCTTCTGTGAGATTGGACAGAAATTGAACGTCATTTCACTTTTACCTACGAGGTGCATAAAGAGTTAAGTCATCATAGGATTGTACGATAGTTTGAACAAATAGATCCATCGGAGATAAAGAGGGTTGGCTACCACCATCAGGCGGGAGGGTCTGCTGCCTTTGGAAATAATCTATGGTACTTTATGTAAAATTTTGATGGGGAAATCTTATTTTTAGAGAAGATGGAGAAAAACTGATGGCGAAGTAAAAACCGCACATTGGCCTATTAAATTATGATTTTATTAATGATCTGCCTCTAAGGGACCTCGGAAATATATTGTAATTGGATAGATAACCAGCGGACTTAAAGCCAATGTCTTTGGGCCTTGTAGGCCTATAGATGCGTCTTAAAAATCGTAGTAATTAGGTATTTTACAGACGGGAATAGAAAATTATATTTGGTATTATGATCGAGGCGTCCAAAGCCTACTTGTTCAAAGTAGCAAAAGTTTTCAAAACAGGAACAGGAACAGGATCCGATCAAAATATTTAATGTGCCATATTTTTGTTCAGCGATTAAAAAATATACAGAGCGTCATAAATAAAAAAATCGTTTCGTCTTTTATATATATTCAACTATTGCTTTTTCAAAATATATATAACACAAAATATTTGTCAGAAAAAAAGTTACAGCGACATTTAAATAATGTATTCCTTATAACTCTGACACGGAACGGTTTTTGATATTATATTTTTGATGAAAATCGGGCCCCAAACAACGTAATGATTAATTTTTTTTGGTACTCGAAAAAAAAAATGAAATAATCTTGGAATAATATCAATACCACACAATGAAGGGGGTTTAAGTATTTGTTGGATCACTCTATTGCCCATTGGCGCACCTAGTGCTGGTTTATTACTCTACTCCGAAATTTTTGGCAAAAAAACACTTTTCTCTGATTTTTTTTATTGGTGATTCGACGGTAGTATACATTGCACTCATTTTAGTGTGCAATATATGAATTTATTTTTATTTATTTTAATTTGTTAATTTCCTATTTTCAGTTTTTTATGATCATCTGCTATTACATGTTTTCCTTCATTAGTAACTTTTTGTAATCATAAATATTTTAAATAAAAATTACGATTTTTTAATATGCGCTTTTATAATTAGCACTGCTATGGCTACTTAAAAAGAATTTTTATAAAAGTTATAAGTGTTAAATTAAATACCGTTTCAACAAAATTTTCACTACAGTATTTAAAATTATTAAAAATATAATAATAAGAAGAAAATTATTAGTATTTTTCAAACAAAAAAATCTTAGTAGTCTCTGTTATTAAGGCATAACTTTTAATTCTAAACAACTTTTCCTTATAACATTTTAGCCAATTTTTCGAAATAATAAATTTTTTGTCTTTCCCTCTAAACTGTTTAACTTGCAAATATTATTAGTGCACATAATATGATTATAGAACATGCACCAACTTTGGTAATATTAGCATTTTAGTTAGGCAGTTAGTAAAAATGACTAAATGAATGAATGACTAAAATGACTAGACTAATATCCTTTAACTTCTCACTTTATGTTATCAGTTTTCATGGATTTTAGGTTCGTTACTGATTAATGAGAACGAAAACCAAAAAATCATTGATGTTTCATACCTGACATGTGACACTGTACACCAATGCAAACAAAATAAATGCCCTCATTATGACTTAAGCCCGATCGATGCACAAAAGCGATAATATGATGCAAGAAGATCCACAAGCTTTATAGTTTAAAATGGATACTTAAAACTCGATTGTCCTCTGCAAGCTGTAATTTTTTCCCAATCAAACCTAACATCAGTTATTTTAATTAAAAATCTCAATAACCAAATTAAAAAAGCATTTGCCGTAATGTTTTAGGTCTCCTAATAGTATACCGGGTATTGAATTTGTCTAATATTATCCAAATTATTCCAGTAGCGAGTACCACGAAAACAACAAACCACGAGTTTATCTTGAACGTATCGAAGAATATTCTGTTTCATTGAATATGGTAAAAAAATCAATCAATTTGTTAGTGTTTGTCATGTCATATCATGTCATACACTCATAACTCTCATTTTGTAATCGTTTTAAATATATCGATCCCCTCAGGACTTGCTATTTCGTTTAGATGGAAGTAAATATATAAGGAATATCCCAACATTGCTGAGGATATTGACAACAGACTTCGAACTAACCTCATTTATTATTTATAATGACTTTACAAAAGCAATCCACAGACCTGGTTTTAAGTATCGGAAAGATCATGCCAGACAGATCGACAGACTACAGAAAAATGCGAGTAGTTGTCGAAATATTAGAGCAGGCTGTTATGGAATTGTTGAAATAAATGTAGTTTAATAAATCAGGCGCTGAAGTAATAAAGATGTTTTTTCTTTAAGCGCTTTAAAAGTGATTTAAAATATTGATTCCTTTCCGAATTCGCCATCAATACAATACAATATATATACAATTCTCCGTGTAACAATTTAAACTTATAATGATAATTAGAACTCTTGAATTTTCGGATGAGGGAATTCTCGATAATAATTAGTTTTTAATTAGTCATTTATTCTTCAGTTGTTTAGTACGGATTTTTTTGGGGTAATCATCATTGTTCATTATTTCATGAATTTCAAATTCATTCATTGGTACTTCATTTCATACTCCTCCGTAATATTGCCAGGATTCAAATTGCGATTAACTGGTAGTCGTTGAGGTCAAGTCAATTATTTTTTTCGATGTAATGATACTGCTGCAAGAATGAAAAAATTTCTTGATCTAAATCGGTATTGTATAGAAAGAAAGAATTTGGGCCGTTCATAGTCAAAATTATAGTCCAAATATATTATCTTCAGCGGGATATAGTGTAATAGTCCTTTTCGGTCAACAATGGGTTGCAGAATCTAACGAAAGGATTAAATTTCAGAAGACGGACGGCTTCTAACTAACAAATGAAACTATACGAGAATCTATAACGAAATTTATTGGGATCAGGATCACCTAATCTGGGAAAATATAGTCATATTAGCCGCCATGTTATTAAATTGTTAATCGAAACTGTTCCGGCCGGACGTTGTTCGTAATCGGGACAGTTTAATAAGCGTTGTCGCCTCGTTTTAGCTGTAACGATTGGTTTTATAGCTGAATAATGCTTACTTTATCTCGGCAAAAGTGACGAGAAAATTGTGTCACAAGCGCCATCATTGTTTTATTCTCGTCAATAAAATGTCTACGGGATAAATTGACACAGTGGCGTATCAAAATATGTATAATATAGGTTTTAAACATAATTGTCGTGATAATAATAGTTTTCGTCGCTGCTATAAGACACGAACGCCAAACAGAAATTAGAAAAACAAACACGCGAAATCGCAAAAATTCGAAATAAACAGTCGCAAACTGCCTACCTGATTTCTTTAATGTAATTTTAATTTATAATGTGAATTTTTCTATAAATAAGGTTAGGTTATATAGGGAACTTGCCAATTTTTTTATTAAATTGGAATCGAATTAACCCAAAAATGCTCGGGAGACGGTGTGACGTCACACCGCAGGAAAGTACAGAGCACGTTATTAGTATAACAGCCATTTCAAGCATTTCTCATTGGTTTCTTACCAAAGTTGCATCGTTAGTCTTGGTTTATATGTGTTTAAGGTTCAATTCTTGCATTTACTATAGAAACTACACTTTATAAACACTGATCCATGCATAATTTAGTAGGAGAGACCACGCGAAGGTTAAGTTTTCATTAACTTAACAAGTTAAAAAAAAAGTTGAAAAAATTCCCACAAAAATAAGGAAATTGCTCAAAAAATAAAATCATATAAATGCAACAAAATCGTAAGATATTATCAGAAGAAAAATTCCAATCACAATTAAATTATCTGAAAAAAAGGTTTAAAATTTCTATTAAAAGTTTGTTGACGTTTGTTGGTTCTGACAGTCATGTCAGTGAATATATTCGTGTTGTTGCAGAAAAAGCATAGAAATCAACACGCTTGGTAATAGTCTACTATGCGACAAGTGCGGTAAACGGTATTTGGAGAGAAATAAAAAGTTTGCTAAACGTGTTGTAAACTGCACTTTTTGTACGACCGTTAGTTTTTTTGTACCTTTTTACAAAACAACACGAATACAGCGACCAACGTCAAAATTCAAGCCGTGGAGTAAAATCTCCGAAAACATCCGATTGCTCCCAAACCCGGAAATGTCCGAAGAGACTCAAGTGGTAAGTAATAAGTACGTATTGTGAAGGGAGTAGAAAAACTTTTGAAGTCACTCGTTTATTAAACAGTCGCTCCGCTCGTGAATAGTAAACTCGTAACTCAAATGTTGTTTACCACATTTGTTGCATAATATACTATTTTATTATCTGTTCTGAATATTTTGGACTAATAATAATAGAACAATTTTGGGTATGCGGTATAAAAACTAAATGAAACTGAAAATTTCTTGATATAATTTTATTAATGAAAGCTTGTTTATAAAACTACTTAAATAGAGTTAGCAAAGCAATAAAGCAATTATGAAATTCCGGTACGCGGTATAAAAACTATATATAATTGAAAATTCATTGTTATAATTTTATTATTAAAAGCTTGTTTATAAAACTACAAAAATGGAGTTACGTGATTTTATGAATACAAGTTTAATATAAATACAATAAAGCAATTAGGAATTTCGTGTATGCGGTATAAAAACGAAATGTGACTGAAAATTAATTGTTATAATTTTATTAATAAAAGGTTGTTTATAAAACTACAAAAATGGGGTTACTTGATCTTATAAATACGTGTTTAATGTAAATATAATAAAGCAACAGGAATTTTGGGTAGGCGGTATTAAAACTAATTCTAACTGAAAATTCATTGTTATAATTTTATAATTTTATTATTAAAAGTTTTTTTATAAAAATACAAAAAAAGAGTTGGGTCATTTTATAAATACAAGTTTGATGTAAATATAATAAAGCTATTAGGAAACTTGGGTATGCGGTATAAAAACTAAGTAAAAGTTTATTTATAAAACTACAAAAAAAGAGTTGGGTAATTTTATAAATACAGTTTAATATAAACATAATAAAGCTATTAGGAAGATTGGGTAGGCGGTATAAAAACTAAATCTAACTGAAAATTCATTGTTACAATTTTATTAATACAAGCTTATTTATGAAAGTACAAAAATAGAGTTGGGTAATTTTATAAATATAAGTATAATATAAATATAACAAAGCAATTAGGAGTTTTCGGGTATGCGGTATAAAAACGAAATGTAACTGAAAATTCATTGTTATAATTTTAATAATAATAATAATAATAATAATAATAATAATCATAATTTCTTTATAAAACTAGAAAAAAAGAGTTGGGTAATTTTATAAATTCAAGCAATACGTTCATTCTAAATTCGAAATCCGGAAGCTTTTTCTGTTAGTTCTTTCATTTTAGTAACCGTGTCTATTGCAATTGCCGATTCTTGTTGATTATACAGAATCGGACAAGTAGGAACATGTTTTATTTTACACTACCTTTCGAGCACAATAATTTTTAGTCAGAAGTATGAAGTCTTGCATTATATTCCTCCGAAAGCGTTGGTCAGGTAATAAGTCTTACTCAAAGGCAAGAACTTCGTAACATTTTGAAACGTATTCACGTTGTCCGTGGACGAAATACATCTTCCCTTCGTTCTGAAGAACTTTCCCTATTTGATAAACTCCTTTGTATTTAATCCTTCCGATTTTCAGCCATCGGCCGCTTTCAATGCCACCGTTGACCAAAAACTCCGTAGCGGCAGTTAAATTAAAAGTGGCCTGCTTGGTTTTCACCCATTTGAACGAGCTCCTGCGTTGGCTGCACAAAATCTGAAACGAATATCTCTATTCGAGTGCCCAATTCGTGTTATTCGAGGAAATCGCGATTACCCAAACGAATTCTTGCGTTTTACGAATTCCCCTGAACCCTACCTCGACGTTAACTTCGTCGGGGATAATTTTGGTTGGAAACAGGCCATAATTCGCGATAAAAACTTTACCGACGTAGAACGCGGTGTCGTTGTTTTGGCCGCCAGGGACGGCGTCTACCGGCAAATGGTTGAAGTAATATTCTCGCCAATAATAATCTGAAAATAAATTTCACCGTATAATGAGTTTCTGAAAACAGAATGAAAAATGCGATTAAAATGTTTGGAGATATCTGAACCTGCGAATAAGCTTGCATTTTAATTGAAAATTCTACCTGCAGGTGTCAGTTAAGATTTTTGTTTTGTTTATTTTTTCTCTTGACATATCGATATCGAATTTATATTATACGAGGGCTGCCTTTTATATTTCGGGATTTTCTTGAACTAGTCCTGCCATCTGGCGACTAACGTTTTCATAGGAAAGTTTGACATTTTGAGGTTAGGTTTACTCAGTTAGGTTTTGGCGAAAGAGTGTTGTTTGTGTTTTTTGTGATAAATTAAAAAAATTGTGACTGTTAAAAATGAAACTTAATCGGGAGCATTTTCGTGCAATATTTTGTACAACATTAGACGTGGACTAACTCAACAACAATACATCCATGAACTTAATTCGACTTTTGAAGTTCAAGGGGATCATTGGAACCAGCATACATACAATTTTACATGAACGTTTGGCTGCAAAAAAATTTGTTCGCGTTGGACTCCTCACAATTTGACATCAGCTCTATCACGTCTATGACATCGTGACAGGTGATGAATCATAGATCTAAAACCAACCGGCGCAGAAGAATCACTCTCCACGACGACAATGCTAGCCCTCACCGATCAGTGCAAACAAAGAAATTTTTGAGCATTACAAACGTTGATTTGATGAGCCATCAAATCATACAGTCTTGATTTAACACCTAAAGACTTCTTTTTATTCCCACACATTAAGAGTAAATTACATGAGCAATGATTTTTGTTTTGGAGGTGCCCTACTCGATGTGGGAAAAATGCCTTGGTGATGACTGGCTTATGATTTCTAACGCCTTGAACTGTATAAATTTAACAAACAAACTTTTTTTGTTATTTATATCTCATAAAAATTGCTGTTTTTGACGTGCCTCCTAGCGACTCGTAAAAAAATGAATATCGTGACATTCCTCCATCCTGAATTTGACGAGATAAAAAAATAGATCAAACAAAACAGTTCCCTTATCTAGAGTAGATTACGTTAGAACCAATTTTGATATAGGTTAATTTGGAATATCTTTGAGAAACCCCGTTTTTTTCTATTCTACAGTAGAGGTTACGCCCCCTAGCGGCCAGTTTATGAACTTGAAAATAATTTGCAGCTTTATCTCTTGGCTGTTATATATATATATATATATATATATATATATATATATATATATATATATATATATATATATATATATATATATATATACATAAATAACTTTTCTAAGTCGCAAGTCGCAATGCGAGTATTTACTGTATGTTTATGAACCAACAATTTAAGTTTCTGAAAATTATTAATTGGATAGGTACTTATTATGTCTTATTGTAGCATGTTGCCGGTGCATTAGATACTTCTCTAACATCAAAGTTTAGACCAGTCATATCGCAGCACACGGAATACCAAATTTTCTTTTTCCAAATGAAAAATCTATGTAATTTGTGGCACTGCTTCTTGCTTTATGCTTTTTCGTGGTTTTTTCTCTTTTTCTCCCTTATACGAGAACATGTAACAGTAGAATCGCGATTGAAATTGATGATATTGATATTTCATATGGTTCATTAATTGATGGATTAAAAAATTTGAAATTTTGTTGGAAAACATGCAGTATTTCAAACCTGCTCCTGAACGACTGACATTTTTTAGGAAAACCCACAATGATGTATTTTCAGTCAATCCAATATTTTTGGGCAAAACTTGGGGATTTAGTAAAGGAGCGTCTAGAAAAAATATGGTAAAGGAGTTCGCTATCTAATTTTACATGGTGGCTCTAAAAATGGCTTTGTGGAGTTGGCGAGACTTATTTTTAAATCTGGCTGCAATGAAAACTGAAAATTTTGAAAGGTGGTTTATATTTCTTTTTTTTTTATGTTAAACGAAGCTTTTTTAGCCAATGAACAGAGATAAAATTTTGGTTTTCTAAGCACAGAAAGTCTCGTTTTCTCAATACTAATGTGTTTTGGAAAAAACAAACTTTTATAACATTTTTTACTTTACTTAAATTATAAATCAGTAAATTCTTGAAAATACAAGCCCTGTGGCACTTGATTAGTTGTTTGTTTAACAGAAAAACAAGAAATAATTTAAAAATTCATAAGACAAAACAGTATATTATACCAAACGTCTTGCATAATAAACTTTTTCTACGTCCGTTAGTTTTTGGGTACATTTTTACAAAACAACACGAATACATTCGATAATATCTAATGCTGGACAAGTATTTGAGAAATGTTTAGAGCATCTCTAAAAGAACCAATTTGGTTTCAGAGAGGGAATCAGTACAGCTGCTGGCACGACGTTTCAATTGATGAATGTGAAAACGTATTACACTCTTTATCGATCTTGCGAAGGCCTTTGACGCAGTTTCCCATACTTTGGTGCTTGAGGCTTTAGAAGCCTGCTGAGTAAGGGGAATTGTGTTGGAGGTTTTTGGGAGCTACCTTACAGACCGCACGTCGGGAAGACTATGAGCGAGATAGGGACAATTTAACATATCATACCACAGGGTATGGTAATAGGACCCACACTTTTCAACATTTATTTATAAAGAAAAAAGACGACTTAAAATATTGTTGAAAAGTTTATGTCGGATTGAAGTATCAAGCCTTTGTGTCTGTTTTAACTCGGAGCTAGGGCTAATTAAACTCTTATCAGTGAACTAATAACATTTTTCTTTTTCTTTATCTTATAGTTTTCGTTATTGGTAATTGGGGAGCCTTACTTTTTTTTCCAAACCTTTTATTATTATTATTGTTATTATTATTATTTTATTCATTATTCTTTATTGTTGTTTGAAGTAATATCTAAACTGGTTAATTAGGTACATTACTTTAGGTGCCAGATTAGTCATAACGATGGGAGCCATATATAATAGTGCAAGTGTAGTAATTATAAGGTTTGCTGTGCACTAATTGTGGTTGCGAATTTAAATTAAAATTGAAATTAAATTGAAATTGAACGTTCACTGATATTACCGTTAAAATGAACGTCAATATTCAAGCTGTGCGATAATATCCCGGAAAAGCCCCAAAGATCCGTGGAAAACGAAAGTAGAAATCGGTGTATAATTAGGTACTTTACAGAAGGGAGTAGGAATAAAAATTATAATTATAATTTAAATAAATAAATAAATAAATAAATAAATATATATATATATATATATATATATATATATATATATATATATATATATATATATATATATATATATATATATATATATATATATATATATATATATATATATATATATATATATGTATATATATATATATATATATATATATATATATATATATATATATATATATATATATATATATATATATATGAAGAAGTTAAATATTCTGTATTCTCTGAATATTTATGATTTGCTTTTAACTAACTAATTTACTTAATTACCTAAATAATTAAAGGAAACCAATTATATTAGTTTACCTTTCAAAGATATAACCTCCAAACTTTCCAAACACAGAATATAGCACCAGATAACCTGTTTCATTTTTATCCTATTAGGCACAGCACTATGAAAACACAACTTTGTTATTAACTAGTTATATTCTGCAACACAAGCACGTGTACGTAAGATTTTAGACTGATCTAATCTCAACTTTTCAACGCCTATTGATAACCCCATTGTTTATTATTCATTAATGGATCCATTAATTATAAAGACAACACGCTTTACATTCTACATGATAGTGAATCTATCCGATCATAACCGAAAACAAGTAAGGTGCGAATTTTCAATTCAATCGTGGTTCGATAAAAACCGAATTGTCAAATTTCAACACTTCGTACGAAGGCGCGTTGTGTTCGTTGCCGTCATGGGCAAAATACATAATGGCGTTGCCGACATTTCCTTGTAACACTTTTCCGATAACAATCTGCCCTTGGTACTTGACCCTGCCGATGAAGAGCCACTTCTGGTCTTCGATGCCCCCTCGTATCAGATGATCATTCACAGTCGTCAAATGGAGATGGGTTTTGTTGGCAGAGGTCCACTTGAACGCGTCAGAATCTGGATACCGGCTGCATAGTATCTGGAAAAATGGCGGTTTAATATCGAGTACCCTTGACATCGACTTTTTATTACTATTATTATTATGTCATATAAGGGTAACAAAAAAATAGTCCAATACATCCTACTAAAACAATAAATACAGTTTTCATTCCACAACTGAATATTTCTCTGAACTACGAACTCCTCGGCCAACTTAAATCTATAAAAATTTTAGCAATGGAGGTATTTTTTAAAATCTTTCTTGTGCCCTGATAAATAAAACGAAAACTATTATTTTTTGAAAGAAACGCTAACTCATTCGAGAATATTGGTTTGAAGGTTATCGTAAATAATGAGAACATTAATATTGTCGATTCTTGCAAGAATTTAGATGCTGTTTTCAGTAGAGAAGTTATGGGAAAGTAAGAACTCTCTATATGTTCAAAGATCTTTTAAATACAGACATCAAACTAAAGTTGTGAGAGTCTCTGTAATATATAGTATACTGGCCGGGGCTTCTTCAACAATGATCAGATGAGACCACAGAGGCTGCAAAATAGTTGTCTGGGGTTTTGTTATATAAAAAAATTTCAACACATTTGACCGTATTATCGCGAATCCGGACTTTCCGACGTTTCCGACTTTAGAAAGCCTCTAACTAATCCTATTTATTTTCCTTATCTCTGTATAGTTATGCTAGATCTCGTCACCCTCCTATCATATACTGTTTTATTGCTTATAGATATGTAAATAACGGCCTGTTATTATTATATAAAAGTAAGAAAATGATCATAAGCAAATAATAGATAAATGAATCAAATTGATAAAGTTGATACCAATATTATTAGTTATTTCGGATTTAATAAATGTTTTAAATCTGATTTTAAATGTTGAAAGTGTTTTACCATTGAGAAATCCTATTATTTTCTTGAAACTGTTATAGAGACAAAAAGAAAGTATCTCTGTCCTATAGATATGACAATGATTTGGTTCATTCTGTTTCTGATTTAGTAAGGATGTTCATAATTTCTAATAGGAATTTTATTTAAAATGATTTGGACTGCTGTTTTTTGAAAATAGAGTTGTTTTGCATCGAGCATACCTGATTCATTAAGAATATGTGTTATTGGATAACACCTATCACTTTTATAAATAATTTTTGAAATTCGTTTTTGTGAAATGTTAATTTGTTTTTCAACCCACCTCATGCTAAAATGCCGTAACTTAAATGCGACTGAGCTAGTGTATGGTACGAATTTTTAGTTGACTTTTAAAATTTTTGAAAAAAAAAAAGCATTTTTTGATTTATTCGGAGTGGTGGTCCCATCTCGAATGAATGTCGACAAGATACTTAGATGTATTACAAGATTTGATATTAAAGTTTCTCGAGTTATGAGATGATTCCTTATCTCAGAATTCGGAAAAGGGTCATAAATATTTGAATAAACTCTTAAAATTCGTTGGATTATAATCGTTTTTATTTATTCAAACCTATAAAATTTCTTGCTTGCACTTTTTTTTTTAGAATATGGAAAACATTCTAACAAATGAAAAAGAAAACAATGTCCATATTTAACAATAAGAAGTTGCTAGGTTTACTAAAAACACCAAACATCTTTTCTGAAGTCAAAATTTAACAAGAATGTACAGCCTTAATAGCAACGCAAACGATATTTCCATCACTCTGTATTGAAACAAGATAGAAATTTTTGTATTTGGGTTCAAAATAATCAAGAAAAAAAATTCGTTGCCAAAACATTGGTTTCACAAGGGTTTACAGTTACAGTGAGACGCATTACATATTTGGGGTAAATTTCCTTATAGAAAGAGGAGTTTAGTGATTTCATATTAAAAGTTTGAATAAAAAATCGTTGCATTTTTTTTAATTTTTTTATTATTCTGTTTTAATATTTTTTGTTAATTTTATCATATTTGACATTTCCAAAAAATAGTGATTTAATATAAAGTTAGCAATCAAACGTTTTGTCATTGTTAATATGCGAAGCGGCTATTAATTGGTCAAGAAAATAATGGCGAAACATTTTTTTTTGTGCGTGGCAGTACTTAGAAAAAGATTTAAAGATTTGCTGAAAAATTCCCATATCGATGAAAATGATATGTGATGAAAATTATAATTATGATACAAGCTATAGTTAATAATTATAGCTATAGCTAATGATAATTTTGAACATTTTATGAGTTATAAAGAAACTTTTATGTAAAGATTTATAATTGAAAATATAATTTTTATAATTTTTTTCCCCAGTTGTCTTCTAATATGTTTTTTTACTGTTAGAACTTTCTCCATTATTTTGTTTTTCTTATTGACTCGAGATGTTTTTCTGCATAAGAATGATTATAACATAAAAAATGACCAAGTTGGGTGGCATAAAACAATCATTCAAAGATGCCTTAATATAAAAATGGATTTTCAAACTCACAGCAAACCAAATAAGTGACTTTTCTGTAGTCATTGGTTGTTTTTTTCTTTTTCATGTTTCACAATGAAAATAGGCAACTTTATACAGAATTATAAAAATGAGGTAATTCTATTTGATGAAATCAATCCCTTGAAAGACTCTTGTCGAAGAAATCAATAGATATGTTTAGACTTTCAATCCAAATTATTTAACATGGAGGATGTTCTACTTAAAATAAGAAAATTGTTACTTACGAAAATATGAGCATCCTGTCCATACAACAATATAATATTTAAAACTATGAGTGAGTCAAACACCTTTTGTCTCTAAGTTCTTCTAAATATTTTTTACAAATTTTCAGAAAGGTATCACCTCATAATAAACAAGCCATCATTCATAATTTTAAGTTTTGTTTAAGTGGTAACTATTAATATTGATATGCGAATGTAAATCGGGATATGGAGGTTTTTCAATTTGCAAAATTCATACCTGTAGATGGCGCATATTGTTCTACTTATTTAAGCGGTCATAGCTGTTTCTAGGTACAATAGCTCTTTTTAAGTACATGGAGGTGAAAAATCATTTTTTATTTCTGAATATAGATTTGAAAGGCTACATTTGAATCTCAATTTTTACCATTTCTTTTTATAATTTCTAAAATCGCAGTAGCTTTAATTATTCACTTAGTTTTATTAATAATCAATAAAATATGAACTTCAAATGTGAGTTAGGAAAAACGAAAACAAGATTACAACTTTTTTCAGCAGCAAAACGTACAACTTATATAAACTTTCGTTTTAAAATTAATCTCGAAATCAATTCCTATAGTTAAACTATATTTCTGCCCTGCATATACATTTAAGATGATTAACTACTTTCCGGATTTATTGTATTTAAAAATTAATAATAAATACTACAAGTCTTACTTGCTGTTTTTCGACAAAAATGGCAGGTTTATTATTAATTAATAATATAGCTATGTTAATCTTCGAGACCACCAAGTTCACCTTGCTACAGATGCAAGGTCATATAGCATAGCTTTTGGTGTGCAAAGCTCTTCACCACCAAAACTCAATATTCGGAGTTGGAAAAATAGTTGAACAATATAACTGCTTGTGAAAGCTATTAAACGTGGTCCATGAGATTACCAAGAAAGAGCACAGGAAGAAAAGAAACTGTAATAAATGAAGGCGTAAAGACTGCCATCAGAAGAATAATACCTAAACGAAATACCATGATTGGTTACGAATTAACTCAAAATTGAAAATCGGTTTTATTAGATAAGGAGAGCTTTCAGACAGGTTAGACAGTTTCCAAGTGGAAACAGCCATTATGAAAACATAGATTTTACAAGGATTTACATTTTTAATTTCCTTATTGACAGTCGAGTTTAGTGTTTTAATTATAAAAGTTTGAATGAAAAAATTGTTGATTTTTTTTTAATTTTGTTCTTATTCTTTTTTTTGTTTCTTGTCAATTTTATCATATTTGGCATTCCAAAAAAATAGTAACATAATATAAAGTTTGCAATAAAACGTTTTGTCATTGTAAATATGCGATGGAACTCAAAGCTGCAAATCAGTTTTATTAGATAAAGAGAATTTTCAAAGACAGTTTCCAAGAGAAATCGAAGGATATACAACATATACCGTTGGTTAAGCATGGCGTCATAAAAATTTAAAAAGAGCTGGGCTAGCTTTTATGGAAGAATGGTCCACTGGAATAAGGTTAAACATTAATAATTACATGACTTACTAGCATTTCAACCATAACGGAGTGGAATCTATCATTAAGACATGAAGCCTGATGTTTGTGAAGGCTAGATTTTGGTGCTAGATTATATTCCTTCTGGGTACATTAAACTCATAAATAAAGTCAGCTACAACTCAAGAAAATCCTAAAAAAAATGCCTACGTCTTCTCGAAAAAAAAAAACAATAATTCGTTGGCTTATTTTAAATAAGAAGCAATTTCAGGACGATATGCTGACAAAAGGAGCTACTGGAAATTGTAAATGTCAACAAACCTCTTTGTACGAAATTTCTTCTGCGTATAAAGTTTGGAGCTAAGCATAGCTCCACTTTTAAAATCTCCCTCATGCCATAGGGAATAATGTGGATGGTGAAAAATAGAGTCCATCAAACCCGTGGTTGACATAATAATTTAATTTTCGGGAACCTATCATTGCAATTTATCTGAACTATAAGATATAACCTTAAAAGATATAGACTAAGCACTAATATACAGTATGGTTAAGTTACAAAAAAATAGGCATAATCTTTGAGGTTAATTGTTTCAGATTTTGGATTGGACTATTAGAGTTTAATACATTTTGATAAATATATTGCCATCTTATATTTTTATTTATTTATTTATTAGTTATTTCAGGCCACTAAAAACCAAACATTCGCACATCATTTTTTGTATTTCCTAAACTTCTTTCTCAACCGAGATTTCCAGACAACATTTACGAATTTGACTTATTCATGTGCCCTAGACCTTGATATCACCTGTATAAATTCTTGCGATTTCTTCGCTCCCTTCCAAGGCACGTACACCGTTTTATCTCCGGGATAAATGGTAGTTGGAAATATTCCCTCTTTTTGCAAAAACGCTTGCCCTATATAAACCTTTTCTTGATTCATATCCGTTCCCCCCGGAACCGCATCTTCCGGTACCTTTCCGGTGTAATCCTTCCAGTAATAATCTGTAACATCAATAACTGTAAATGTCCTTAGAATCTGATGATTTTTCATAATGAAAAATTCATCCTGGAAATAATGTTTGTAGCTTACCGTTTAAACCGGATACACTTATGTCATTATTTAAGAAGTAACAAAGTAAATAAACCACTGTGGGGACCTTCATACTCCTCGCAGCTGTTCTCGTGAACTAAGTATCAAGAAGTTATCGAGGTCGTCACCTTATTGGAATTTATCGTTATTCATACATGTAAAAACAAGTTTCGCATCAGTCCGATCGGGATTTTTTTACTTCAGATCGTCGCGTCGGCTCTTGTCGGTAGGGCTTCATTTTAATTTTTTGAAAATGTTCGTCACTTACCGACGAATTCAATTGAAATAAAGCTTTAATAACTAGCTAGATGTATTTCAAAAATATTTACCCTCAAAACATATACCTTAATTATGACACCTAATTTTGTTTAGATGTTTTCTTTCTAATTAACTTTACTGTGTGTCTTAATGCGATAGAAGAAAAAACAAAACTTGCAATGTCACATCATTCGTACTGGGTGTCATTTTATTCACATTATAAAGGCTACCCTATAAGTAATGGTAAGTGGCAAAATAGAAAATTCTTTAGGCAAAATATTCCGATTTTTTACACAAAAATTATGTATTTTTTAAATTTCATCCCAAGTCGCTGTTTTCGAGAAGTTTGGGTTTGAAATTATCAGTATATCATCAAAATTTCATTTTTTATAGCATCGATTTTAAAATAACCTAGATAATGCATATAACTGAGCTGATATGGTAGTACAGACCTTAACAGCTCCTAATACTGAATGAAAGCCATTTTATTTAAATACAATTCTGGTTTTAAACCAAAGTATTAATAAAAATATACTTATATTCGGCAATAAATGTTCTGTGACGAACATAATCACAATAAAAGACATGTGTTTTATATACAGACGATCCTACTTTAACTAATGTGACAGAACGGTTTACCCAAAACAGATTGTACCTTACCACAGAGAAAACTGACGGAATGATAATTTCAACCAATCTTAAATTGCAGAAAGATATTATCAACTAAGCTGTTGAGCATTCGCATAGATGACTCATTGAAGTGGACGGTTCACCTAGACATATGGTGTAACAAATTCGCTATCAGCATATTTTTAATGAGACGGTTGAAATCATTTCTTAGCTTAGAGACGCTTAAAAGCTCCTAGTGTGCCCTTATCCCTTAGTATTAATCAAATCTTTATATTGCAAAAGCTTCTAGTGCGGATCATATGTAGGGCTATCCAACGCGCATCCTGCAGGCTATTATTTGCTTCGATGAAAATTTTGACAGTCCATTCAATGTATATCTTTCAGTCGCTAATTGAAAAACACAAAAGAAATCTTACTTGTAACTAAGAAGTTCATAAATATCCAACTTTTACTTGCACATCCCTTGGACGCTCTATTTCGGCGAGGAACTCCTTCCCCACTCTACTCTACAACAGGATGAACATCTCTACTACATCCCTACCGTTCCAGTCGTTCAAAATGAAGGTAAAGGAATATACATTGCGGCACGTCCAATCTAAAATTGTTTAAAATATTTGTTTGTGTTTGTCTACAATTGTGTATGCTATTCTATATTGGACGTGTGTAAAAGAATTATATTGGTGATGACATTAAATAAAATCTAATATAATATAATCTAATTCACTAAACAGGGTGGACAACTATCGTCTAAGGTTATATAGAGACACGGACTGGATAGATATTTTATAAGCTCTAGAATAGTGTCATAAACAAGTAGGAAATGAAACTATTAGAGGTCAGGTCACTCAGGGCTGTCCAAAAGGAGTGTTTTTTTTTATTACTCCTGTCGAACTTGGTTCCAAACAGTCTTATTGGTCAATAAGGAAATGAGCCATGAAAACCACACCACCTAAAGTTCTGTCAACGTCTACGTCGATGGTTGGAGGAGAAAAAAGGATCAGGAAGAGGAGTGTGTCTATGGGTCAGGTGCCCACTGTAATGCTTATGGAGCATTGCTGAAGCAGCAAAAGAAATCAAAGCAGTTCTGGTACTTCATGGACCACGTTTTGGCAACTTGGAAGCTATTGAACTATCCAAACCGAACAGCACCAAACAAAACCTGACTATGTCTAAGAAAAAGCTACTCATGCTCATTCTGTGTCATTACTTACTTAACAAACGACCATTTAGATTGCTTTTTAAGAAGCAAGGTGTGCGAAGAGGAAGACGAGAGAATAGAACGCATTCTGCGGGAATGTGCTAACTTCTCGTTTAAGCAATGGCAATCATGGTGTGCGGAGTGCTCTATCTAGGAGGAACCAGAATGGCCCTGCTGAGGTCTTAGTTGTGTAGTGTTGCCTACCTTAGTCCTCTTACAGATTACCTAACATTTATTTAAAAACATCTACATCAAGTACGATATTTGTCTAATAAACTGAAACATGGTATTTTGAAAATTAATTCTAAGGAGAATTTTAAGTATACATCAAGCCACCTCATGCGATGGAATATACTGAACATTATTTGAGGAAAGTCATTTGCCGTTGCCTTTTACGCAATTTTGATATTATCTATATTTTGGTCACAGTATATTTCAAGGTATTACTGAAACCCACACGTATTTATTAAATATACCGATATTTGTATTTGTGATGTATATCACTTCTTCTGATACAGGTATAACTAGCAATATTTATTTATCTAGTGCTTTAGCGCCATGAGCAGTAGTTATAATATACCTACTATTTTATTACTTTTTTATATTTCAAAATAAAAATACCAAAACACCCTGTACAACCTGAAATATAAAACGAGCTCCATTTGTTTCGGTATCCGCCTTTGTACTCGTTTCATAGCATAAATAGCGTGTATTTATCTTGAACCGGACGAGATAGTCGGAAGATATAACCCAAATCCCTATAAATCCAGAGACGAATATCCAAGATTTTCCGGCTACGCCATGATAAACTACATGTTCGCTTCCTCGATTCCCAAACTAATCCTTTTCTCCTTAACATCTACCATCACTCAAATTTTCCAAATAACTGACAAAAAAATGTTTTCTGTTTTTGTTTCCTGAGAGAGAGAGAGAGAGAGAGAGAGAGAGAGAGAGAGAGAGAGAGAGAGAGAGAGAGAGAGAGAGAACATATCGATAAAGATAGAGAACTATCAAAAAAAATACCTCGATTATTTGCTTGCTGAACAATTGAGATAGTTTTGTTATTAATTTTAACTTCTAAATTGCACTCTATGCATCCTCTCACATTTTTGTTTTTGCCTTTCACTAGCAGTCACGACTTTTCACTGTTAAGTTTTAAATTGTGGTCTTGTGCAACTATTTATAGTTTTTGCAGAACCTAGTTAAGCTGTAAATACTATAAGGTGAAGTGCATTTTGTGATGGTTCTCTAATGTGTAAATTATTATTATCATTGAAATAGTTTTATGTAAACAAGACAATTGATTCTTGTGCCGGACGGTGATGTGTATACAAACATCAGGTCTGAATTTCTATTGATAAAAATATCTAAGAATGGAATATTATTATTGGTTTCTAATTAATAACAATAATAATAAACAAATTTGTTTTCGACAGGTTTAAACCGTATCATAGAAAATCTATAACTTAAGAGAAAATAATGAAAATACAGTACAAAATATAAACTCTGCGCATGAACCACAAAACAGTCAACAATCTCATGAAGTGTATCCGCATTAATTTCACATATGTCTGAAACCATATTAAAGTTCCCACACATAAACAAAATTGGTGACTGATATAAAACATTTGTCCTAGGTGTAGGGAGACGAAATGTAGGTCTAAATGTGGCTTCAATTCTTTACTTAAAAACCACTCAGAGTTCACGGTAACATGTAATAGCCCTTACAGAAATTTTAAAGAAAATTATGACCCTTCTAACTTCGAGAAATGATTCCCATGCGTAATAGTACTTGATGGTCAAATCCTCTGCTGAGATGTATATTATCTTCCTGAAAAACTCAGTATTTGAGGAACCGTTTCTGGATCAACTCCAAGCTATCAATGCGACATTGATATACCAGACATATTCTAATTTAAATCTCACGTAAGAATAGTACAGAGTTGTAATAATTGAAGTACTGTTGAAGTGTCAATGTTAAAACATATGTCATGATGTGTAGAGTTTAAATGGCTAAAAAAATCTAAGAGGGACTCTTGACCATGAGACCAAATAACAAAAGTAGCACCAGTGCAGTGTTTCCACTCACAAATATATTCGCAATGACCGCTGATAATGGCTTTTCATAAATTGGAGCGTTACCAAACATGCAGTTTTCAAATAAAATGAGGTTTGGTTCCAGATTCTCGGATTTTAATATATCTGAAACAATGTTGAGAGTTTTAGGAATAGGGACTTCAGTAAATGGGGATTCAACGTCGACTTTCGGATTTTTCGTTGGTAGAAGAACTGATTACATGCAAGAATTTTAGTTTTATCCGGTTTCATGAGTGTGTTAGGCAACAGCTGATGAGTTTATTTGTCTTAGTCGTAAGGCTCTTTCGTGTTCTTTGAGTCTAGTTGATATTTTTCGTCCAGTCTCTCCAATGTATTTTTGCCGCATGTGCATGGAATACTACAAACTCCTGGCATCTCAAATGGAATTTTGTCTTTGACGGACTGTAGATTTTGAGAGATTTTTGGACAAGTGGTAAATCTGGTTTTGACGTTATACTTCTTTAGAACTTTTGATATGTGGTCAGTGATGTTTTGAATGTAAGGAAGTGGCAAGCAGTTTCAGTCAAGCTCTGAAGAAGCCAACAGGATGATTGGCGAAACGTCAACAACTTCGACTCAGCAAGAACAGACGCAGGAGGAATCCAGAAGTATTGTAACGAAAGGATCTGTCTGTAAGAGTATCTTGAATTTTTTCCTGATATTCACTCGTGTTCATGACGGCCGTACTGTGTCCTTTATCTGACAGTTTCAGTACAACAGGTTGATTAGCGAAACGTCAGCAACTTTGATTTATCAACAACTGACGTAGGAGAATCCTGAAAATTTATATATAATAACATTTCATCTTGTATGTTATTTCCGTCAAAACTCAAGACGACACACTTTGAGGCAAAATATATATTCCCGTTGTGGTTACTTTATGCATTTTGAGATTTGA